ATCCGCCCGCGGGCCTCCCGTGCGGCCAATGAGGGGCGCCTGGTGCCCTTGGCTTCCAGTCTGCGCTGGCTGGATTCGTGTAACAATTGCCTACTGCTTACACGCGAGGTCGGCAACATACAAGGAACTTCAGGATAGGGAGAAAAGCCTCTTTATAATAGAAATGTCTACTGTCAGTCCCTTATTTCACACAGATGTTTGGTAAGAAAAGTTACCAAGACTCGGCAGTGAGGAGTCCAGGGCTGCCCGGATCAAGAAGCAAGGGGCAGGGCAGGTGACATCTCACCCCGTGCAGACTGCGGGCGATGGCAAGGGGACAGCTTGACAGTCTTATGTCTCCTGGCTTTTCCCAACTCTGGCAGGCCAGCAAGGAGTGTGTTCCTGTCATCTCATCCATGGGTCCCCTCCGCCTCTCCATCTTGTCCCAGTGCCTTCTCCTTGTTCTGCACCAGAAGCCCGAGGAATGCCTTTGGTTGCCCTGCTGTGGGTGTTGGCAGAACTTTACTACTGGCGCTCCTGTGAGCAGGCACGGCGCAGAAACTCTCTCTGACCTTCATAAGGCTAGGGCTAGACAGGGCAGGCAAAAATAGATCCATTGTACTTTGTCAGAGCAGGCAGGACTTGGAAAAGCACCAGGCAAACACATCATCAGTGCTGGCCGATGAGCAAAGAGCAGCTGTCAAACATGGGGAGGCCGAGCTGCTGGACTGGCACTGCCAGAACTGGGGTTTTGGGAAGGGACAGAGCTTAAGTAGGTAGTGTTGAACTTGAAAGGAGAATGAGATGGAGAAAAACCTGTGTCAGCAAAGTTCCCAGTGTGGAAATAGATCCATTTCAATGTAAAGTCTAGTGACCTGAGTTTCCACTAAAAGCTTTTTAGTTTTTAACACAAGTGGCTTTGTTTTCAGACACAAAACATAGGCCCTGCTGGTTCTGTGCTCTGCAACAGCATCTCTTTTGCAACAAGTCTTAGGCTTCAGTACACTTATGGCAGGTTATTTGCATTTCCACAGTCCAAAGTCTTAGAAAATTTATTAAATGCATTAAAATTTGGTCAGGTAAGTGTGCATTAGCAGGCATAAAAACATTTACAGTCAGAATTTACTCACTGTTTGAACTTCATCCACAAAAACCATTATTTTGATATAAACTGATGATTGAGTGTAAAACATGAAAGAAGTATAGTTTAAATTAGGAAGCCAACTTTGGAGACATAAGTTCAATACTTATGCCAGTTTCTAAGCCTATTCCTGATTAATGTAACTGAGATAATTTTCACCAACTGCCAAGTATAATTCCATGAGCATTTTCTGTGCTGGCAGTAAAAAGATATAGTTTTTTGTTGTGGGTTTTTCCCCCTAAGAGTTAAAATTATCTGGATCACTTCAATGATCCATGTGGCACTATGGTTCTCTGTCTGAGAAAGTGTCCTCTGTGCAGGACAAGGCATTGTGACACACAGCTGGAAGAATGGATCAGCTTCTTAATGTGACTTTGATGCTACAGAAGATTTTGTGGGGAATACTTTCTTAGTAGCAGAAAAATTTTACAGCATCTTCTTTGGATTGCATTTTAAATTTTTTTGTACTATTTTCTCCATTACTTTAGTCAAGTGAGATCTCCACTGAGGATTTCATTACCTCATAACTGCTGAAGTCCCATCACATCTATTCAAACTGCTTCTGTTAATGTGTCACTGTGCATGAAAAAGAGAATCTGAATACTGTGTTCAAAAATTCTCCCTGAACTCGGTGCAAATGTCACCGTTAAATACTGTGGAATGCAAATGCAACTATGTCTTCCGAAGGATTTACTGGGACATCTTTGGGAGATGACAGCACTGAAATGCTGTCTTGTCACTCAAGGTGCTTGTCAAACTCATGCACCCATACAAAATATTTAATTCCCAGGGTTTTTAAACTCAAGACTCTTGTTAGATGTTGCCTTTTTTTATCCCAAAAGTAGCACACTGAACCTCACTGCCTCAAAAACTCTTGCTAAATATATTTGATGCTGCCTTGTTTTTCTCCTCTAGTTCAAGTACATGTCACAAAATTAGTGCCAGGACTCTTTTTCAAGCCTAAAAACCCCTCTCAAGTCTGAACATAAGTAACTGGCTTCTTTCCTAAGAGAGCATAACAAACAACATATTTTTCGAAAATAAACAAATCTGTTTCCTGAATGACTCAAAGGATGACACGTAACTTCCCTTAATTTTGTTAGCACACAACCATCTCACTGAATCCTAGTTTAGTTTTAAAGAGCTTTATTCAGTGCTACAATTGATCTTGAAAAACTGAAGTTCATATATTCTCAGAAAGTGCAAAAGTCAACTGATCTACAGAATAATTTAGTGTTTACATTTTACCTTAGAAGAACTTCTTTTATGACATTTGCGTATTCCACTGCCATTTTCTCTGCTCTTAGTATGGAAAGTCAGGTAAATTTATTCTGCAGTGGTTCGCAACTGTGGAACATCCATTTACAACAAAAAATGGAAATCCTTTTCTTAATTAAATTAAGAAAAAAAATCCAACATAAGACTAACAAATAAGAGCATACTATGTTCTTATTCCTGCCCCATCCTTCTAAAACTGCAAAATTCCAGAAGCACAGTCCAATCCACAACACAAACCTCCACATTTAAGTGTCCAATATTAATCTAATCCAGTCTCTAACCATAGTGTCTCTCACTTTAGTCTAAACAGTGGAATCTCTAATGCTTTCACTAAAACATTTTTTTAGGCTTATCATCCATATATATTTCCTAAAAACACAGTGAAATAAGTTTTTGTCACTTGGGTTCTACTGATTGAAAATGTTAGAAGATAACTTCATAGCCTGGAAGGATGAAATATTACCAAAAAGGTACACACTTCCATCATTTACAAAAACATTTCAGTATGTCAGCTGTGAGGACAGTTTAGCTCTCAAAAGCCCTGGAATAATAAATTTACCAGCAGTTTTAGAAAACACCAACCCTTTTGTGGGAAATGTCTGGGTTATTTCTCCAGCAGTAACTCTACCTTCATCTTTGTTTTTCCAATGGCAAAATTCTCCTGGTTACAGAGTGAAAGAAAAATTCCTTTTGGAGCTGTTCCTCAGGGAGCCTTCATTAGCCAAACTAGGTGGCTGTTCAGTTTGCTCCCTGATAAAACCCTAGGATGCAGGAGAACTGAAATCATCATAAACAAGCTCAGACACCTCATGAACAGCTCATTGGGAGGGACTGGACTGCAGGTCTGCTAAGGACCAAAGCCACAGGGTTGGCTGCTCACATGTCTCTTGCTCACCAACTCTCTTGTCCGGGGAGTTGGTATCACCAGGAGGTTCAGAGCATGGCATTTGGTTCTCTGGATGTCAGCAGGCAGTTCTGCTGAGTGAAATGTCCTGTGTCAGCTCAGAAAAACCCACAGTTCCATCTGCTTTCTCTGTTGTCACAGGCAAATCCACTACAGTTTAGTCAAAAGCATTCCTAGAACATCCTTTCTGTGCTATCCCTTTTCCCCTATCATTTCACACAGAACACAAATATTCCTGTCTGCTTATCAGGAATCACCTGATTATCACCCCACCACCTCCCTTTAATCCAAGCAGAGTTAATTTAAAAATATATTTGGGCAAGCATTACTACAAGATCCAGTTATTGAAAAAATAATCAGGAAATGCATTTGTTCAACCAGTATCAACAGCCACAAGAACCTTAAGCACCCAGATGTTGAGAGTTGAAGATGGTGATGCTCCAGCAGTCCAAATGACTTGCACCTGCAACACAGTGCCTCTGAGGGCACAGCTGGTTCTTACAGTCCAGCCAAAGGCACAAGCCTGACTTCTTCTCATAAAGATTCACCCAAGAGAAAATTGTACTTTCTCTTAGCCATTGTGTATCAGAGGAAGGGTAAGGCTATCCACAGCATGTATCAGCACAAGACTTGGTACACATGGGAAGAAAAACAAAGCAGCACACCATAGATGGATTCTATGATTCAACAGAAATGTTCTTTGGAATTATCTGACAGAGGTATTAGGAGGTAAGGCCAGCCTGGGCATTAGGGATGTTTGTTGACAGAAAAAGTCAAATGCCCCAGAGGAGGCCAAAAGGCTGTGGGAAGTTCCTAGCAGAACAGTGAGCAGTTCATTAGCAGACTGACTGGGGAACAGGGCCCTACAGAATTCAGTGCATCCAGAAGAGGGCCACAAAAATGGTCAGAGGGCTTAAGCCCCTCTCCCATGAAGACAGACAGCGTTAGGGTTGTTCAGCCTAGAGAAGGCTCCGAGGAGAGCTCCCAGTGGCCATTTAATAATTAAAGGAGGCCTACAAGAGAGATGGAGAAAGACATTAGGGCTGTAGTGATAGGACATGGGGCAATGGTTTGAAAGTCCAAGAGGGCAGATTTAGATTGGACACAAGGATGAGACGGTTGGACTCAATGATCTAAGAGGTCTTTTCCAACCCTAATGGTTTTATGATTCTATGAAATTCTATATGATAAGGGTAGGGGACACTGGAACAGGTTGTCCAGAGAAGTTGTGGATGTCCCATCCCTGGAAGTGTTCAGGGCCACACTGGATGGGGCTCTGAGCAACCTGCTCTAGTGGGAGGTGTCCCTGCCCACGGCAGGGTTGGATCCACATGATATTTAGGACTCCTTCCAACCCAAACCATTCTGTGATTCTAAGCACCAAGAGACATTAACTCTTCAAAACAGAGGCAAGATAGAACCTGGAGTAAAATTTCTTGAGAAAGAGACTTTAAATGCTAATTTCCAGCTCTTGTAATCAGTAAACTCATTGTACTATCCAAAGTTTATCTTTTACCAGTGCATCTTACATTTTCTCTGCAGTGTGTCAGTTAATTTACTTCATGATAAAAACATTTCAGAATTTAAACATGGAAAGAATGGCAATTAGCTTCTCCTTTGGGATAACGTTCTGGGTTATCTGCACATCCACACAAATACCACATTTGTTTATAATAGAAGAGGAAAACTAATAAACCTTACACTTTTAAAATTATCATTGAGAAATCAGTTCTGAAATAGACCAAAAGTTATGCTGATTTCACATCAATAAATTCATTATTTATCCAGTAGTATTTAAAACTGAAATGTTTACTTGAATATCTGAAGTCTGTTTCTTTCAAAAGAAAAAACACTTTGTTCAACCATACTGTAACTTTCAACCTAAAACTGATCCATAATGAATCAAATACTAATTTCCAAATATCCATTATTGCATTATATGACATGAAGATCCATGACTGGGGTTCATTACAATACATATTTCCACACAGCATTTTAAAAACCAAAACACTAGTAAATTAAAATTTACAATAAATTATTAATTGTCAAATGCATAGGCCAGAAAGTAGTAAGCATGGAAAGAAAGGGTTAATTGCAAAAAGGTTAGTAAACAACAAGATATTGCAGCTACCACAAATCCCAGAGACTGAATATAACCGAGAATACTCCACTGTATAATAAAAATGTGAAAGATCCACAAACTATTTGTAATCATGTACAGTGTTCTAGGTCTATATGACAATCTGTATAAAACACTAACAAATAATAGGATATTGCAGTTGTTTTCTATAATAGAAACTTACAATTTATTTTTAAAAATACATCCAAAATAGAGTTTTCTAATTTAGCCAGGTTTCAAGACATTTAAAGTGATTTTCTTTATACAACAGCAAGACAAATACAGTGATACTGTATTGCTTACACTGAAACTGATGTACTAGCAAACCACAAAGGCTGAACAAAATGCACAGGACAAGTTTCAAAAACAACAGACTGACTTTCACTGACCCTGAAGATCACACAACAAGAATAAATGTATGACAGATAGGTTTGTAACTACGGAAAGTATTGCAATGAAGGAACTCTTGAAAAAAGTTTAAAATATAACAATTACTTTCACTAGGAACTTTAGCAGTATGAAACAAGCAACCTAAACCCACATACATGTGTGCACCATACAGTTTCATGAAAAATATTTGAACTAGTAAGCTTATTATATGTAACAGTACTATTGTCTTTAAATTATAGGATTCTAAAATGTATAAAACTGGTTTTCCTTTCATGTGATTTATATTAAAATGATTTTTCTTGTTCTCAGCATTGAAAATTTAAAGCTGTTGAAACTAAACTTCTCCTTTCATTGGCAAAGAGTTTTTGGTGGGTAAATGCCACAATTTGGTTAAATCCTGACGGGCTCTGAAAACTCTCAAAGCTTATGAAGATCAAAAAGTTGACAAGTAATTTAAAGTTGAAGAGAAATCAGAAAAATGATGAAATAGTTTAATATCCATGGTGGATTAAGTTCCAATATTCGCTTTTTAGTTATTGTATTGACAGTGGTACTGACAGAACCCAGTAATATTAGCCAGTCTCTCATTCAGTACCAAGGAATTCATTCATAAGACTATAAATGGCAATAAATCATACAGGTGGTAACGTGAGATCATGTAATCATAAAAAATAACTGTTAGAAACACTAAGGGTCTCAGCTGAAGGTAACGATATATTTCATTTAACTTAGAAGCAGTTATCTTAAAGCAAACAAAACCAGAACTTCAGAGTTTGGTTTTTCCATGAGCTGTTACATTGTTCTTAAGAGGACTGTAATGGTTAACATGGATGAATAAAGAAAAAAACATGTTGATTCCTGTATTTTCCTGTTTTAAAGCTCCCATTCCTGAGAAAACCCCATTATGCCTCATTCCTTATCAAAAGGATGAATTTATAGTTTGAGACTGATTAATGAAATAATCTGAAATAATTAATTAAGATCCTGCTGAGCAAAGTGAGTAACACTGAACCAACAACCTCCTCTATGGATGCATCTTTTAGATCATTATAAAGACAAAACAGATTAATTGGCAGGCAGCATAGATCAGCTGCATTCCACCTTTACATCAATCTTGAAAATTTATTATCATAAAAATGTAAAACTTTGGGGGTAAAAAAAGGTCACTTACCAGTAGCCAGAGCTGTTTGCTGTGTGTGTTATGTATGCACTTTGGCTCTTTAGAGGTCCAAATGTCAGAGGTATCCAACATCATAAAATGCAGGGGTTTTTTGCCCTCACAATATACAAACACCTGAATTTAAACAACCTCGTGAAACATGACCAAGGTTCTGTGCTTATGAGTTAACACATCCTAAGCACATAGTCCTGACCCAGCAGTCCATGGTAGTTGCACTCCATCTGTAACTGAAGTTAACTTGCATTCAAACAGACTAGGGCACAAAGAGAAAACAAGGACAGGAATCCAGAGAAAACAGATTTTGAGGACATCCCCTCCAAAACAGTGCTCCAATTAAAATTAAAAAACCCAAGCAAACAAACAAAAAAAGGACACATACTACCTATGGAAAGGCAGCTAAATACCCATCAAGCACAGTAAAAACCTTGCTAGGGCATGCAAAAATGTGGGCAGGAATGCCAAGGCTCAGATAGAACTAAAATTGGCCAAAGATGTCAAGAATAACAAGAAAGGTTTCTACAGATATGTGAGTAGTAAGCAGAAGCACAGGGAAGATGCAGAGCCATTGCCTCACTAAGCAGGGAAGCAGTTCACTGCTGATAAGGCAGAGCTCCTCAGGATCTTCTTTACTTCCATCTTTACCAGCACAGCTGGACTGCAGAGCACTGGATCAAGTATCTACAACAATGCACGTGTCAACCCACCAGTAGGTGAAGAGATGCTCTGCAGCCTCTTGCAAGGGCTCAACCCACAGAAATCCACGGGCTATGAGGGAAACCACCCTAGAATATTAAGGGAAGTGACTGACATGGGTCCAAGGCCACTCTCCTTAAGAAGGCTTGACAGTCTTGATTAATAGACATTTCCTGTGCTGAGAGCAATCACTGCAAGATGTGACTGGACAGGGCACTAGATAGTTTGTCTCTTCTGGGGTCCTGCTCCCATGGAAGGCTGGAATGAAAGATCTTTCAAGGTCTCTTCAAGCAATAAAGATGGCTGAACTGAGGGATTCAATTGCTAAATATTTACATCTGTAGATACACTGATATTTTCTCAGCTGTTTCCAAAGCTGGACAGTACCACATGAGGCTGCATCAGCTGAACCTTTTTGTCAACTCTAAACAAAGAACTCTGTATTACACCTGAGGCTCAAGCTATGGAGTGGAAAATTTCTTCAAGGATGTGAGAGTGATTTGCATACTGTGCTTCATTACAAAGGAAAAGAGATTTTTATGATCATCTTACTATTACCTGGGTTTCATAAATCTGGAGAATATTAGAGTAAAACTCTTCCAAGAGTAGTGGAATGCCTGGAAAACTACCTCCAGCATATTCAGAAGTAATATGTTGTCAGATTCCTTTAAACTTTTAATGTAGAGGACTGTAAATCTCCTGTGCCTGCTAGGGTCAGAAGTGGGTTGGGCATAGCAAGGGACTAGAAAGCACAGTCAGAATTTCTGAGGAGAGCTGAACTGGAGAATGATCAACCTCCAATCTGCAACTTGGTCCTACAGATCAAAATTGGGCCTCTAACTTGTGGGGAGAGAACAAGCACCTCAGGTTGGCAGCAACAGTCCTTCAAATTTACATAAACTCCGTGGATAAGATGCGCCTCCTGAGGTACAGGACAGTCATTTTCGTACAGCTCTCCAGGAAACAGATAAAGAACTTGAACCATACAACCTTCAAAAGGTGTAACCTTTTGAAGACCTCAGCTGCCACAGCCAGTTCCAACACAGAAAAGGCACAGCAAAGGCCCAGACACATTGTTCCATGCCATGAGGGGTCCTCAGCACTAAGTGCTTTGATCTGTGGGACTGGATATGACCAATTGTGTAGTATGGTCCTCCACAACATTCTTCTTTCTGAGCTGGAGAGATGGATTTGATGGGTGGACTGTTGGATGAGTAAGAAAGTAGATGGATGGTCACAAGCAGAGGGTAGTGTTCAGTGGCTCAGAATCCCAAGGGACATCACTGACATGTGGGGTCCATATAAAGGCAGTGTAATCATCTTCATTATTGACATAGATGAAGAGGTCGAGTGCACCCTCAGCAGATTTGCTGCTGACACCAAGCTGAGTGGTGTGACTGACACACCTGAAGGATGGGATGCCATCCAGAGGGACCTGGACAGGCTCAAGAAATGGGTCCATGGAATCTCATAAAGACTGAGTGCATGGTGCTGCACCTGGGGCAGCCCCCGGTATCAATCCAGGCTGAGGGATGGACAGATGGACAGCAGCCCTGCTGAGCAGGACTTGGGGGTGCAGGTGGATGAGAGGCTGGACATGACCCAGCAATGGCACTCCCAGCCCAGAAAGCCAAAGGTGTCCCGGGCTGCATCCAAAGCAGCGTGGGCAGCAGGGAGGGAGGGGATTCTGCCCCTCTGCTCCTGTGGGACCCCACCTGCAGGGCTGCATCCATGGAGCTGTTTGGGATCTTCCATGAGGAAAGACCAAGAGAACTGAGATTGTTCAGCCTGTAGAAGAGAAGGCTTAGGGTGACCCAGCTGCAGCCTTCCAGTACCTGAAAGGAGCCTACATGAAAGATGGAGAGAGACCTTTTGTTAAAGAGCATGTGGTGACAGGATAAGGGGGAATAGCTTTAAACTGATAGAGAACAGGTTATATTAGATATTAAGAAATTCTTTACTGTGAGGGTGGTGAGGGACTGGAACAGGTTAGCCAGAGAAGCTGTGAATGCCCCATTCCTGGAAGCATTCAGTGCAAGGTTGAGTGGGGCTCTGAGCAACCTGGTTTAGTGGAAGATGTCCCTGTCCCTAGAGGTGGCTGGAACCAGATGATTTTTAAGGCCTCTTTCAACCCCAACCATCATCTGATCCTGGGATTCTATGACACAGTCTGTGATTACAAAGCTAGGGTACAGAAAGATCCAAGCAGCTCAGTCATTAGAATTGAGAAGAACACAGAAATTCAGTGTCAGTTTTCATGGTTTTTGTCTGGTAGTGATCCTCAGATGCTGAGAAAAAAACTACAGAACTCAAGAACTCTACAACCCAAGCCTCATCTTGTAGTCTCTTGGTGTTAAAGTGGCCTTGGAACTGCCACTGCAGAGTGGGCAAAGGCCTCCATTCAATCTGATCCTATGGCTAGGCAATCTCTGGTGCAGGAATGTGTTTCTTGATTGGGTCAGGCTCTTCCTCACTCAGTTTTGCCAGAGAAAGAAAGGAGTCATGCTAAATAGAACTCAGACTTGACCCAAGATTCAGAAAATCCTAAATGCCAATGTCTAGAGAAGACCATCATTTTCACTAGGGTATTTCTCTCATTTTAAGCAGCAGGAAATAAACATGCCAGGGGTGCTTAACTTCCTGCTGCAAAAGGATTCAAGAAGCAACCACATGTCAGTGTTGTCATGTGAGTCACATCCTCAAGACAGAGGAGCGTTTAAACTCGTCCTTAGATGGAGCTGTGGAGTATGACTCAGGCAACATGCATGGAGTATCTAGACCCATTCCTAATGAGCAAAGGAAAAGCAGCAGAGGCTATGCTCCCATATGGAAGGACACTGGATTTGACAAACTAAAATTTGAAAAGTAATTGTACAGGAGTGGTTGGAAAAGAGAATTACATACCCAAAGGCTAACCATAACAAAAAATAAAGACATGGACAAAAGCTGAGGCATCTAGAATGCCTCCATCACTGGGCAGTGAGTGTTAAAGAGGGAGGGGTAGTGTGAGAAAGCTCTGAGACCAGAAAAAGCAGAAGTGTGCTGTCTTTGAATGCCTGCAGTATACACTTCTCTGTTAGTTTTTCATGGTATAAAAGAGTTGATGTCTACCACATTATTGTTAAAATATAGTATTCTGTTGCATCTGCAAAACAAGTCACTTACTGACTCTTTGCTGCTGCTCTTTTGATCAGCCGCATCAATGTTAACATCAGAATATTTTTAAATGTGAATGTCATCTATTTCCCTGCACTTGGGGTATGGTATCCAGTGTTTAATTCAGCAGGAAAAAAATCACTCTTCAAAACAACAGCCAAAATTAAGCTGGGTCTTGTCTGCATGGAAACTGGCCTTTTCAGGATGTTTGATTATGTATTTTCCATTTGATACGTGAAAAAGAACTAGCAGCAAAACACTGAAAACAAAGCTCAGAGAGGAAAGTTAATTTATTTGTCTAAAACATCAAACTAAGTTGAGATACCTTAGTTCAATCAAAGTTCTTCAGTTTCCTCATAAGCCTGAACTTCATAAACAAATATTCCAAGTCCGTCTACCTACAAAAATAGGATGGACAATTCTTGACCTTCTTCAGATATCAAGTTAATTTACAAGTCCTTGAAGACAGATGAAGAACAGGAAGAGATCCTATATCCTAATACACTCCACCACGTTTCCCAAGTGTACTGGAAAGGAGGAATATGAGCCTTCTTTGGAAAGGTGCACTGGAAGGCTTATGACCATCTCTTGGAGACAGGGTATGCATTTACATCACCATGATTGCCATGGTACAGAATCCTGGGCTGCTCCTTTTACACACCATGACCTATGATCTGAGAGTTGTAGTCTGCTGTCTCCATTCTCAGAATGTATGGGATGATGCTGTCAATCTGAACATTGCCAATCAGTCCTGCGAAGAACAGCTCTTCAGTGATGGCAGCACTCATCAGCCTGAGAGCAGGCAATCGCAGAAGGAGTCTAGATAGCCTGGAAAATAAATTTGGTAAAAAGTGTTACTCAGTAAATCACAGATTTTGCTGTTGTTCTCCATGATATTATTGGCAAGAGAAAAAAATTACAAGGAACACTACTGGTCAAAGTTTACCATATCTAGTTCATTAAAGGCTTAAATATTTAAATCAGAATAGCATTAAATTTATTAACAGTACAGAAAATGTGCAAATGTCTTTCAACTATGTGTGTTTGGATTTGAGACTAAATAAGGAAATATTCCAAATAGATGCAATTCAAATTGCATGCTACTAATATTTATTTTGGATATTTAATTTTAGAAAGTAACAATGAGATGAAAAATGCTACACATAATATGTTTGACCACATGCATAATATTTGAAGTGCTCTAAAGGTAATTCCTTAATTTTAATGAGGTAAGAAGAAAATGTATGTATCTATTACATGAAAAACTGTACAAATCAGTGATTCAGAAAAGAGAATCAATCAAATAAGCATCTAAGTTTACAGACCTGTAGGTATCATCTGGATATGCCTTTGTTACATAGTCTTGGAACTCCATGTAAGCTTTTTCTTGAAATTTCTCAATCTGTACCACATTTTCTAGACCTGGATGATCTGAAAAAAAAACCCCTCTTCTTTGTTATACTCATTCTACAGAAAATGAACTAACATCCATACAGACTATCCAGTTGCCAACATACTGAAATAATTATGTGGTAGCTGCAGCAACTTCAGTTTTAGTTGTGGACACTACTTCACCTCTTTATATTTCTCTTTCTTTACATTTATCTTTTACTTAACTTCCCATAAATAAACTCAGACATTTGAAAGAGTTCAAATAAATTCAGTGTTTACAATGTTTATGTCAGTCTTGATGATACAATTCTGTTCTTTGTGCAGCAGTAAAACAGGATTGTTTCAACACACTGACACTTCCTGGAACACTGGATGCACAAGTAATATTTAGGTGAAACGTGAAGTATAAAATTAAGATCAGTGGAAGAAGCAGAATAAAAAGCTGTGAACATGCACAAAACACATTGAATCATAGAATATGCTGAGTTAGAAGGGACCCATCATTGAGTCCAACTCCTGGGCCTGCATAGGACACCCCAAGAATCACACCCTGTGCCTGAGAGCATTGTCCAAATGCTTTTTGACATTGAATTCAGATAGGTTTGTATGTAGCAGACTGTTCTTTCCAACTATTTGGTACAAAAATTTCTAATGTGCTAATCATAATTTTTAGCAGTGATTTGAACTTACACAAAATGTAAGTGTTGCTAAAATGAAAGGACATCAACTTAACTGCCAAGTCACTCTCAGAAATTATTAGGTAGTAATTCTGAACTCTCTACATGGTCTGTAATTTTGTTATCCATCTATCTGAATGTAAAAATTTTACTGTCATGGTAGCATGACAAGTCATGTAGATGAAGAGTCAGAGTTGACATACAAAATGCATCACTTCGTGCTGCTGCTTTTAGAGGCATGTCAGGAACACAGCAAGAAATCAGCTTCTGGAGAGAGTTCTTTGAAGACCACTGTACACTTGCAGCCATTTAGGAAGATGTCAAGTTGTCTTGGCACACCCCTTACATAATCTCCTTGTCCAAGGCTGTCTTGTGGCAATCAAACAGCTGGCTTGGCACAGCTGAATCACCAGGGCCTACTAAAGCAGAGGTTCTTATCTTAGGCCTCTGCTGCATGTACAGCCCAGCCCCATCCTGCAGCACAGCAGTAAAATCCCTGCAATTATTATTTCTGGTCTGAGAGTCATTGCCAGGTCATCCCTTCTGTTCAAGGTACCTCAAACATGACTTTCACATGCAGGAAGATTTTGTTATATGGCTTAAGGATCAAGAGTCCTGACGACACATTGACATTAAAGCAACTGCTCATTAGTAATGTGAATTTGAAAACAGCAGCTAAAGAAAATTTCTCTCAATCATGTGACTGGACTAGAATATTTTCCAAGGTATTTTTTCTTTTACCTTTTGTGTTGTCAAATATAATCGTAAGGACACAAACTTCAGACTAAACAAATAGGTAAATACTACTTTGCAAGTGCAAGGTTCCTCAAGAAGTATTTTTTGGTGTCTTATAGGATTGATTTTTCCACACAGGCCAGAGGATTCTATCATAAATGCTAGTGGACATAATTCTAAAAAAATGGACTTGAGACATTCTCCCATAATTTTGTTTCTTTCCTGAAGTAACCTCTACCAGTTCTTTGTATAGGAATGCCATGAAAAGGATTATTTTGGGGTAAGAACACTTGCAGGAGATTTGTATCTCCTGCAAGTATTATTTATTAAAATTAAACCAGCAAACATCCACCAACCATCCACTTAGAGAAAGTCTCTTCTGTAATAATGGTGTATTTGGAACTGTTCAATCTTCAGCAGAAAAGGAAAACTGCAAAGATTTGCAAGCATGCTTAACATTGTGTTTAAACTGAGTGGGTTTAATGGTGAGTCCTGCTTATCAGGAAACTGAAACTGTTGCAGGGATAGAGTGAACTATACAAGCAAACACACCGAACCATGCAAGACTCTCCTGGTCATAAGGACTGACAGCAGGATTATGTCTTGGAGTAAAACACCCAGGATCTGATTTTCCTCAGTGACCCACAATAGAAAAACATCACAATAGGAATTCCTCTGGAAATTTATCATCTTTTCTGAAATGTTCTGACTCTACTCATATTCTTTTTTATTTGCATGAATGTCTGTCATCTCAGAAGTCTTCTATACTGCAAAATATATATATATATATATAAAATTTAATATATATATATATAGGTAACTATAAGATATGCAGGGTTTTGTTTGCACACTGATGAATACCATGAATTCCTGCTGATGCTGCCACTTTTACTGGTAGATACTACATATAGAAAAGATAATGCAAATCTGAGGGAAACTGCAAAGCAAGAACCTCACAATATATGAATTCTATATATTAGAAAACCTGCTTAAAATGTACATTTTGAAGTGTCCAAGTTCTAAAAGATTTTCTCACCTCAACTAATTTTTCTGTGTAAGGGTGAACTTCACTGCAACTGAATGCAAAAAGCAAGTTCTTCTTGGATCTAATAACCCTACAGAACTGACAAGAACCAACCACCCAGATCTCCTCCATGTCCTACACTACTGACAGGGGTCATTAAGATTCTGTGAGCATTTGAACATTCACTCCAATCTTTTCTACAGGACATCAGCATCTACAAAAGGCAGAGCAACAAGATTAAGGAAGATGCTGGTGCTTTTAACACATTCTAAAGTGAAATGGAGTAACTGATGACACTTCCTAAATGTGAGAGTGAAAAACTCTTGGAGACAGAGGAAGTACTTGAGATTTCCACATTTTTCTTTCATCAAAAGACTTGATTTGGCTTTGTATTAAATCCCAATTTTGAATGATAAATCTAAGGCCTGCAGGATGCTGATACAATACCTAAATGCCTTTTGTGAAAAGCTAATTCTGCAACTTCCAAGTAAGAAAATTAATTTTGTATCTTTCTACATCCAGGCATATGAGATACACAATGTAATTACTCACTAAGTACCTACCATAACCAGAGGACTCTTTCCTCCCTATTGTACACTAATCACCCAGAAGGGAAATAAAGTAGCATTACCTTCACTGTCTAATGTATGTCTAGTAATGCTACTGAGAGTACATTAAGCAAATACTGTTTAGAAGATAGAAATAACAACATAAGTGAATGCTTGTGATGCTCATTTGTCAGAAATGCTTATGCATTGTCTGTGTGGGGGAGAGGTGATGTTTCTGTAATTCTGAATGTGAGAACTGATGCCCAGATAGTTTTTCATATATTAAAATCCCAAGTTCAATCTATCTGATCTGGATGTGCAAGAGCAACACTTCAGAAAATTAAACTGCAGGTCTTTAGAACATGAACTCCAGAAAGGAGGCACAGAATTAAAAGCAATAAATAAATAAATGAAAAGAAAAAACCCCAAACAACCAAAAGCATAAGTGGCACAGCCACAAATAAAAATCTACAAATAAAAAGAATCAAAGTCTCTCCCTTGCAAAAAAAGTCCCCAAAGCAACCTTCAGTTATTTACATTAGAAGATTAACCCTTCTCTTCCTGCAGTCCTCACAAACCTTGCAAGTTTGCTCAACAAATAAGGCAGTAACTGCATATAATGAAACAGATATGCAGAAATAAATAGCACAGATTAAAATGTTACATTTGGAATAATTACTTACCAGGACTGAAGAGAACAATTGCTTTCAAATATGCATATTCATACCCATCCAGACACAGTTTAACCATGCTGTTACAAAACTCTTGCAATTTGAAGACATGCTCCATTACTAGTCTTCCTCTGTCTGTTGGCAGCTTATCTAAATCAAGACACACGTAAGAAAAATTCCCAAGGTAACATGCATGCAAAAATGTGTTCACACTGGAATTTAAAAAATATTTTTTATTAGATTCAAACAATGGGAAATCTATGCCATGTAAAAATTCCTATTAGGTCTGAATAATCCTGACACCACCAATTAGGGAGTATTAACTCTCTTTTTTTCCACCTTTTCCAATTAGGCTCTTCCTGCTAATGCTTCCAAGTTATGAGGCATGGACTAGAGCTTGAAATGATGAAGGAAGGAAGAAACTACTTATAAGTAAAGCATACAGTGCTAATGCTGACCTGTGCTCTGTGCCTAAGGATCAGGTGCCACATGGCAGAACAGTGTCCAGCTTTGTGGGTGGTTTAGTCAGAGACCATGCCACTGCTGGGAAAGGAGAACTACTCACCTCCCCTGATTTACACTGAGGGGAACGTGGTTGGTGCACAGCTGTTCCCCTTGAGTCAGCAACAGCAAAGCAGCCCAAAAACCCATAACCCATCCACAAACTTGATATCTCTTGGAGACACTGCAGCTGGCAGACTGCACAACTGACCTTTGCAGTCAACCTGGATTCCCAGTTTAAATGGCAGAAATATGTGTATTTAATAACGATAAAAATACGACTAGTTACTACAATACCCTTTCTGGTAAACATAAATTACTATTACATAGACTAAAATTTCCAGATTTCATTTTTATCTGCTAGAGACAATCAGATTTGTTAGCTGTTCCAGTACATCTCACTGTTTGACCCGCTTGTTTTAAGCTATTGTTATTTACAGGAGGATCTTGTGGATGTTTTTAAATCACAAAAACCCCTTGGAAATAATTCTTTAATTACCTTATCATAAAAGAGGCCAACTGATATGTCTTTCATTTAAATGAAAAATATGCCAAAGATGCAGGACATAGGATTACCAAGGAACAAAGTGTACTTAGTGGAGATCTGTTGAAGACTTCCATGCAGACTAAAACGAATACATGGAAGTCAACAAGCCAAGTTATCTAAAGGAACTGTATCACCAAGTTGGCATTTAGCTGCTTTGTGTCACAGCTATGAAGAACAAGGACAGGTGGGTCATTCTTTACTTTGTATCCTTCATACAGAGGAATCATATTCACAGTACTCCTGTGTTCTTAACACTGATGCTGCCCAAAATATTCCTAATTTGGGCTGATGATATTAACAGACAGCAGAACACTATTAAACAATACAAAACACAAAAATTTAAAAAAAAATTATTTGGAGTTAAATATTACAATAGCTGACTTTTGCAAAATTGCTATAATATTCTATCTTGGGGACTGTAGTTGCTAGTATCCTTTTGTTTCAATACTAACATGAAATTCTTTAAACAGTAAATTTACAATAACAATTGAAGAATAAATAGGGAGCTTCTGTGCACTTCAAAGCTTAAAAAATATCAAGTAATTCCCCAAGTCTGGAATGTGCACAGTATATACCTTACCTTGTTGTAAACTGCCTTGAAGGTGATTAACAAAAGCAGCTAAGATCGTTGCCACGTTCATAACTTGTGAGCATTGTGCCAGACCAAGCGTAAAAAGTTCATTCCAGCAGGCTTTTACTAATGATATGCTGTTATCCTGCCTATTGAAAAGCACAATAATTTAATAAAACCAGCCATTTGCATTCACACATTTTTTTTAAATTTGAAGAACACTTCATAAAACATTAATTCAATCATTACAACCAACACCAAAATGAAGTTCTGCATCATTTTTCTTTGCATGCTAGAGTTAAAATACCTTGTTTAAAGTGACTTTTGTAAAGCAATACATTTTTGTTTAAGTGACCTAAAAGGAGACAGATTTCTATTACAAAAGCAAGCTGAAGTTACAGTAAATGACAACTGTCACAGTGTACTCCACCATACTAGTTTTCTTAGGATTTGGGACAACATTTGTATGCATGAGCAAAAAAAGATTGCATTGTTCCTGTATTTAGACATAGAACAGACTCATGGGGTTTTTTTTCCATTTGAAAACTGACAGGTTGGTATAATTTTTTAATTAAAGATAGAGGTGACATGGAACATCAAGCTTCTGAGCTTCCTGGCTGCTACTGTCTACATCCCTTTCAAGTCTGGAATAAGGTTTGAAATACGGACCTCAAAGTATAAATACCACTCGTAAGGATTTATTTGCTGCAGCTTAAAATAAAATATATCAATTCATATTCAGCCACTTTCATATTAGTAACCTAACTTTTAGTTATGCCAAGCAGCTCTAACTCACAGAGCTTAACAAGACCTCAGTACCTTAGAAAGCAAATCCCACCTTTAGAAAGGAGTCAAATTCAGGTATGACGTTTCAGTTTTAGCCAGTGAATACAAATAATGGAAATTTAAAAGAAGTACAAGATCTATCAAAGAAGAAAAGCATACTAAAGCTAGGATTTCAACTACAAAAATACAGTGGAATGGATTTTTGAAGAATGCAGATATAATCTTCGGGAACAGTTCTGATGATTTAGTGCAATCCTAAGATGCCAAAAGACTGGTGAACACAGACCTGTCCTTAACTGGATTACAAAGAGCTTACTGAGAGCAATATTTCCATTCTGATCAAGTTCTTGTTATGGTAGACATGATACTGTACATGCAGCTTCTGCACATATTGGTCACATCTTTGTTCATCTCCTTTAACATAATCAGAGGGACTGTGCTGAGCACCACTGAAAATACGGTGTACTGGCTACTCCTCTGATTTGTGTGTGTAGATAAAAATATCAACTACAGCATCTTTATGGCTGATCAAAGTTACACCAGAACCAGTTCTTAAGTTTGCTAAAGCAGCCTCACAAAACTGTAACCAGCTTGTTACCAGCTTGGTGATGGTTTCAGTAGGAAACTCTCTTAAGAACAAAATGCCCATGCAGGAAGATGAGCTAATCAATATCTGGCATCATTAACTACATCATTAGGTCAAAGGCAACTATCCTGCTGTGACTAAAGGAGAATGTTGCCTGAGGAGGAAACAACCTAGGTATCCATTTTCCTTACAAAACCATTACTCATCATGCTCCATGAATTTCTCTTCAGTTTAAAAGTGAAATGAGTCACTCTTCTGAAAGCCAAAATTATAGGACATAATGTACTCCAACTATAAAGGGTGCATTAATTTCAAATACAACTCTACTTGAAAATAGTTTGCATTTTAGGCGCTTCAAAGAAACACTGGATTTATGTTATTTATATACTGTTGCCCATGATCTTGACTGGGTCTATAATGCTATTACAGGTGAATATTAACACTATTATGGCAGCTTACTCCTCCACATTCTTTAAGCAGAAAAATATATTGTGAAATAACAGATAAAAAGAGCAGGTGCAGATTTTTCTTGCTACATCTTTTTGGATAGAGAGGTCTTCTGTACTACATTTTATTTTTAAGAAGCAATTCCCATTTTTTATTAAATACCAATTTGTACTAATTTGCAGCTGTCTCTCAGTAACAAAAATCTTTTGACATAACGTACTATGTCTATTTGCTATGCATTTTGTAATTCTGTAGATCAACAATTTCCACCAGAACAAAACATCATATTTACCTATTTTTTTTACCCCTACTATTAACTTTATACAATATTCCTTTGTCCTTCTCCAACACAAAGGCTTAATTACACACAAAGCAGTATCTTTCCTTAAAAAGTGTAGAATAATTTGGCTGAAGCATCTGAGTAAACATAAATGGTAATCACAGATCATCCTGCTTTTGACAGCTTTCCTAGAAAAGGAGACAATCCCTCATTTTAAAAACGGAATTCTCTTTGCTGCCACAGTCACAGGCTATTTTGATATTGAATTAAACAGAAACACTGAGATGAGAACAAACTATCATGATTTATTCACCATTTGTGTCAGACCTGATACAGTATCTATATTCGGTTGATGTACCTTCATAAAATTACTTCTGAATATAGGATAAATCAGTTTTTCCCATGTAGTTTGGACATTTTTGTTTTAATGATGATCAGCAATGGACTACAAAACTGAACCTAAGTGATACACTAAATTCTGATGGAGAAGCAGGATGTTATACAAACCGTAAAAAGAAGAGTTAGAATTACCTTTTGGCTACAGGAGCAAATTATTTTTGGCAAATCTTCTGAAACTAGACAACTTCATTCTGAATGTCTGCTGTATCTAGCAAACCATTTTCTTCATGCAAGTTATTAAAGGCAAGATTATTACTGGTAATTCACCTTATAAGGATAAAAATTTTGGGGATTCAGACAGGAGCTTCTTTTTGGTGATTGCCTGATAAGCATCAGGATGAAGTATAGAGCTGTAGCCATTAAAAAGCTGATAGAAATTCCTATTTTCTCAAAATATTTTAAGAAGCATCAGTGTGAGGGTGTTTGATTCTTTTAAATCTACTCCTTTTTCTTACAAAACCCAACCAAGTCCTGAATTTGGACTCAAATTTGGAGTAGTTTTAATTCAGAAAATTTACCTTACAATTAAGATTTATAACAGGTTTAATCAGTAGTTTTATATTTTTACAAGTCCCTGAAGAAGCCAGCAAAACCCAGGAATTCAAAAGCACATGTGCACAACGTAAGTGAATAAATGGAACACTTACCCCAAAGCTTGGAAAGATGGAATGGAACGTGCCCAGTGCATGGACAAGAAAAGCAACCTGGAGGCAGACTCACAAATATAGTGAACATTAAGATAATCAGGCATAGGAGAAGGCATGGTGAGCTGCAAAAAAGAAAAAAAAAAGAAGGAAAAAAAAGAAGAAAGTGTAAGAATTCTTTTATTTTCCTCACAATACATTTAGGAAGAAATCAGTCTTTTGCGTTTCTTGTAAATGAAAAAATAAAATAAGTTATAATCCCAATAAAACTGAATGACTCCCTTTTGCATTATTAGTCACACCATTACATTCTGTATGTTAAATAATCACACAGCAACAAAAAAGATAAAAAGTTTGATTCATTCATAGTGATTAATGTCTGAGACAACTGGAAATGGAAAATCTCAAAACTCAACTTCTGAGACATTTTCAAAGAGTAAGAGAGAAGAATCATTTTAAGTGGAGTGAAGTTGCTTACATTAGAGGAGTGACAACTCCTGGAGAGAGAGAGACAATGTGTGTGTGAGAATCCTAGTTCACAAATAATAATTTTTATTTTATTAATTAATAAAATATTAATTCATATTTTACAAAGAAATACAAGATAAATCTTTTGATGTTTGATCACAATACCTAAATACACAGCTCCTCACAAGTCCAAAAAATATAACCAACATATATCAGAAAGGACTCTTCACAATGTTAGTAAGTAAAATTAGTGATGTTACCTGCGTATGTGAAGAAAGAAATTCGACCCAAAATAGCTTAGAACATGTAATTCTGTCTTCAGAAATAAGTATTTTTTAATATAATGTTCTGGCTAATGCAGTTTTAAAGAAAATGCTGACATTTGCATTAGAGATGTTCATTTGAATGATCCAAACAGATGCTTGTAGGAGGGGTAAAGTTTAACCAAATGCCTGTTTCGGAGTTTTCAGATGACCAAGCTTTTTGATATATCCATGAAAAATAAGGATATAAAGGATGGAAAAAAAAAGATAGAAGGAATTCCTGCAACCTTGTAAAATGAGAAATAAATCCAGAAAATATATGGCTAAGTAACACAGCAACTATATTTAAGTCAATTACTAGCATGCTAAAACAAGGTATCTACAAAAACAAGAAAGTGACAGATACACTTAAAGGTCTCCAAATCCAGCTGCAGATTGCATCAGATCCACTCATTCAAGTGAGAATGTGGATGCTGACTCTGCTTCATGCAAGGAAATGCTGACTCTGCTTCATGCAAATACTTTGTCTATGTAAATCCTTTTGTACGGCTTACCCAGTATTTTTAAGGTAACTATAAAATAACCAGTGCAGCTAAACCACTGCAGATTGCAGGACTTTCTCTCAAACAAAGAATTAACCAGCGAACAAAAGCAGTTTATTAACTGGAAATTAATGCTAATACCTGAACAAATACTCCTCTAAGAAATTCAAAATAAAGCCTGGTCAGGTTATTATTGTACATCACTATGCCAAAACAGTTACAAACAGTCAACAGTAAGAAAGTATTCAGTACCCTGAATGCTACATGAGCATCACTGAGTAGTGGCCCCTCTATTTCCACGATGTTCATGCTTGTTTCTCCACCAAGCAGCTGTGCACTGGTGTCAATGCTTTCAGAGTTCTGGCATGCTGCACTCTCTCCTGGATTTAATGCTTTTGCAAGAGTATCAAATGCCCTGAAAGATCACAAACAAACAAAAAGAAAATTTCATTTTAGAGACCGTTTCAATTTAAAAGGAACCTGCACAAGTCTGAAACCTGTACATAGAAGTCTGTTTCAAAGAGTGAGATTTGGAAAATAAAAGTCAGCAGGCATGCTCTTCCTGACATTCCATCGAACTCTGAAACAAAAATTAGCAGCAGATCCTGTTTACACTAGTTGCCAACAAATTCACAGTTTTGACATATTGGTTGTGCTGCTGAATCACAGTTTGCTTTTCAGGATCTCTTTAGTGATGTTCACTGACAGTGCTGGCATGAGTGTTTTGAGGACATGATCACCAGACTACTGTTACAGTAACTTATACATATATAAATTTTACAGGCTTTATTGATATGAAACACAAACAGAGTAAAATATTTTTTTTTAAGTAATGAGTTGTGGTTAGATTTTTCAACTTAATTTGAAAAGACTCCTTCAAAATATGTAAGAGAAAGCACTCCCATGTTTTCAATACAACGCTTAGTACCCTCTGCTGCATGGCAGTGCCTCTTGGCTGTCACAAGCACAAATGCTAGAGGGCACATGTCAGGACAAGCACAGATGTATTACTCAGTATTTGGCTGCTTGATAACACAGGTTGTTTTTCTGCTCATGAATACACCTGAGAACTACAACTGACACACCTTCAATCAAAAATACAGACATCATCACTGCCCACAGATGACATATCCTGGGAACAGCAACATTTCTATATAGTGTTGCATGAAAAACTCATGCACTAAGGCCAGAAAACTTTACAAAAGCTGATGTATGTAGTGCTCACTCTGAATTTATAGACGTGTTTATTACCCCAGAGTCTAAAATCACTGATTTAATTCCAAAATCTGGTATAGAACTTGGCCAGTTTCTCTACCCCCACACTCTCTCTAGCTACATGAATTCACTAACACGCTAAAAAAAAAAAAAATCTAGCTGTTTAACATGACTCTGCACAACCAAATGAAATATCACAGGGAAAGAGCTGCTAACACTGCCTCAAGGCTAGGGATGGTCAATGAACTCCTTTTTCGGCCTCACTAGCCTGTGTACCTTGATGTACACACACCAGGGTGACTGGGGCATACACAAGTGGACTATACAGACATACCTGGGCCATCTTCTGTCTGTGGTATGCACAAAGTTGGCACAAAGGGAAGGCACTCATGGCTCAGCTCTAGAAACTATACTATGGACTCCTGCTAGAAGATCTGAGTTTCAGGTCTTCCATAATTCACTCTGCAGTCTTAGGTAGAACAGGCAAACACAGCAGCTCAGTGACAGCTTTTAAAGAAACACCAGGATCTCTTCAAGGTTCTTCATGTGGCAGGGACAGAAATTTAAGAGAACAAGACTTCCCCTTTCCCCCAAAGGTACATGTCACATGTATCTGTCACTATCCTGTATTTATTCTAGCGCAGACTGAAGTGCTAGAAAAATAGTGTGGGCATGTACACTTGTTAACCATGTCTGTCCATGACACTTTCCTCCCTAGTCATTCTTCAATGTTGCTTTCAAAGAAATGAAATGCTTTCTTCTCCCTCCTATCTCATTAATTGCCAGTAGTAAGCCAGCAGAAGTCAGTAGCAGCTTTGCTTCCTCATGGCTCAGCAATGTGAGTCCTTTCCTACACAAAGCCCCACCATGAGCAAGGTCTGTAAGGTAAAACATCACAAAAAGGAGAATCTAGAACAAAGCTTGCCTGGGAGCTATGAAAATCTAGCCCACAAAGTGAGAAAACGAGGCATAATCATCATTAAAATACATGGTTTATGGTATTGATACATGGTGTTGATATCCTTTGCTACAGATAATTTTGGTTCTCTTTTTGTCAGGCTCCGTCATCAACAGATATGTAAGACTGCAGATAAACTGTAAAGAAATAATACCATGAAGCATTAGAGAACAAGGCACATAAAATTACAATATAAAAGCAATGGATTGCTTGCAGCAAAACTGAAATAGTAACTACTGCAAGCAATGAATAAAATACATGAAAAGCATGGATGGATGAAATGTGCTCTTTAAAGTCCCTTAAGCTCTTCTTCCTCAATAAACATCCGCGTCTGTTAGATCATGCTGGCATAGGGCCTGACAGGGAACTCAGTAATTCAGAGAAAATTTTTAGTTTCTCTTGGAATAACAACTTCCCTTCCACAGCAATATTTAACTAGAACCTCCCCACTGTACAGCTATTAGGTAACCTACTTGACAAGAGTATGTCAAGTCAGAACTCTTTCAAGTTCTCTAGCTGAGAGCCCCAGATGCCTTTTATAGACACTTTTAGAACTGAACAGAAACCCTGAAGTTGGTAAAAATAAGCATCTGGAAGTCCCAGCAAATGAAAGATTACTACATCTCTTTGAACAGCCATAGTACTGAACAATGGCTATCAGCACATGTAACAATACCACTTACATGGCATACTCTAACACTCTTTACCAAGGGCCCAAATCAGCATCTATAAGAAGTCAGACTGACTTTCTAAGCAGTATATAAAGAAAGGAACAGAAAAAAAGTAATCTGCTTGCAATTACACAAAGCAGTAGAGACCACAGGGGAAATCAGATTTTTCAGCCACTATATGCCCACCTTTTTCCCCTAAACAGATTTACTCCACACACACTTTCAGAACAGAATGTAAAATGTGGGTGGTGTGTAAAAGAATATTGCTGGGACAGCAGTCAGAATCTTGCATGAAATGACAACCAACAGGATTGTGACGGATGGAAAAACTGTGAATGTTCTGTATATACATCTTACACATATGCTCACCACAATAGCTCAGTTAAAACCAGTGCTGAACACAAGTTTTTAAGATAGTGAATGTATTAATATTGGTAGTGAGAATTCTCTTCTCTTGTGTAGGAGGAAATTGCTTTTCAGGCTTTTAAGGTGATTAATAGTTACAGGCACTTAACACAGATGAGATCTCTTAAGAACAAGTTTTCCAGGATGATGCAAAGCCCTGACTACAGTACAAGATCTAACTAAGACCTACCTTAGCATGGCCAACCAAAAGGTAAGAAAATCAGCTGTAACATTTATACTGAAATCAATTTCAAGTACAAACAACTGAAAGGATTTATTTCTCTAATGAACTTTTCTCTTCATTTTACTTGGAAGAATCTTACAATATTTACCTTCTACATGAGTTTATGCTGGTATTACTATTACTTTTAAAGCAGATAAATTTCCTACATTGTGATGATTTAACTCTGGTCTGAATTGACAGAGATCTTGAAAAGGATAGTATTTTTAAGTGTAATATGCCTTACCTTGTAACATCACTACTAGCTTGTTCTTCTTGCTTGAGTTCAGATAATGATGCATCTCCATTACTCAAATTTTCAATCATGGATAGCTCTGTACTGCTTTGTGAGACGTCTTTGCATTTACTGAGATTTGCTAATGAAGTCACTACATTTGCCAGTGTACTTAAATCTCCTTGACATGCTTCTACCTAAAGGAAAAGAACAGCTTTTAATTCTCAGATAATTGGCAGCACCAAACCTGCAAGAGAAGAGCCTAGCTTTCACATAAATGAAGAACAGAGCATATACAAAGATCTACCTGTAAGAAAACTGTTTTCAGTACATAAGTAACCACAATACAGCCATCAGACACTGCACTGCATCAAAAATATGGAATACTTTGACATTTACTTGTAAAAGTAATAGCTATCTATTTCTTTCAGAAAGAATACTACTGATGGTAAGCAAGTGCAGAAAGATTTCACATCTCTATGCACTCGTCTATCACCAGGAATGTAAGACTGCTCTAGATTATATTTTTAGCATCTTCCTTCGCCATGTAAATGAGTCAGTAGTAACAGGGGAGGAGAATGAGAAGAAGGAATTAATGAAAAGTCACCATTATAAACAAGCATAAAAAGAATTATGCTGTAGCCTTTTTGGTGTTTATGTCTTTGTTAAACTGCAAAGGAAAAAAGTGATTCAGTACTGTCTAGCAACTCAGAGAAGCAGTAAGATGTGTCCCACTCTATCACAGCAAAAGAAAAGAAAAAAAAAGTACATTATTACAGACAAGTGTGCTGCTGCTAACACCAGACAGAACAAGCAAAGCAAAAATACATGAACACAGCATGAGGGTGCTGTTGGTCACTCTTCACACAGGGCACCATTTGTTGTCACTCACCCCTAAAACAGGGCACCAATTGGACAGTGGCCACATGACTGACACCAGTGCCAGTCCTTTGTTATCTAAAAACTTCCCCTCATTGACAGAGGACTCAAAAGAGTAGCACCAAAGATGGTAGCAAGCATCAGCAGTTTATTGAAGCCTTCACACCTTCTCTCTGTTACAATCCCACAAGCAGCACCAAGCAATACAGACCCCTTCCTCTCACAGCACAACCTGCTAGTTCTAACACCACCTCTCTCCTCCCAACCCTTTATATCTTTTCTCTCACATGCATAACACCTGCCTGCCCTTTTACTCCTTTGTGATTGGTCAATACACATTGGCATTCCATGCTGCTTCTCCTTCAGTGCTGTTCACGTGTCTTACACAGCTGCAACTTATCAGGAGCAAGACTGCAGCACTATCTCCACTCTCCTACAATCCATTCTCTCACATGAGGTAATTGAATATCAGCTAGAAAAACACAAATACTGTGCATATGTGAAGAAGCTACCACATGACTTTAGTGGATCAGTAAATGCAACAAAATGGAAACAAAGGAAAAACAGATCATAAATAACATTGTTGATGAGATAAATCTTATCAGCTTTGCCAAAAAAACAGTGATTCAGGAGAAAAAAAAATCCAACTGTATTTACACATGGCACTGTGTGAGTGTGTAATAGTGCCATAAGAAGTTGTGAACACTTCACTTTATTTGTACAAAAGAGCAGGGCAAGTGCCAGGATTATCCCAAAATAAAAATTAAAATAATACTGCCCTTAAGACTCCTAAAAATGTGAAGGAAGGACATTTACTTTGTTGTGTTTTCAGTGTTTTTACTGTGTGATGCTAAGAGGATTCTTGTAAAGAGAAGGCATTTGTAACAGTGTTGAATGTTGCAAAGGAGTGTTTTAAAAATTAATTTAACCAAATAGAACACCCTTCTCTCCTTACATATACAATTACAGCAATTAGCTCTACTTATTATATCAGTCATATCATCACATACCTTATCTGGAGTCATCAGCACAGTAGGTTCACTTTTTATTGCAGAAGGATGAATGTTAACAAACATTCCTGATTCCAGCAAACCCGTTGATCTGACAGAAAACAGCACAAGTTTTAATTTTGATTAATTTTAAAATTCAATCTTTTTTTTTTTATCTAGAAGATAGAGATAGCCACTTCTGAATACAATTTACATACCTTGCTGTTTCATTGTCTGTTACAAAAGTTGGGGTTGCAGCTAATGGACTGCGGAGATCTTTCCGAATGTAGATCTTTTCTGTAGAAGCTGCACAGTTGGAAGATTTTTCTCTTGACACTTCAATAGGTTTCCTCTCACACTGTACAGCTACAGAAATAATATCCAACTATTAAATCGCCCTGAATTACAGAATAAGAAATAATACTTTCTTCTTTATTTAATATTTGGTTTTAATAATAATCCTGAAAATAGCTAATATATATATATATTAAATATATCCCATAACCACAAGCTAACAAGTTGGATAAAACCACCACACCAACTTGACAAGTTCTAAGTGAAATGATGTAGTAGTCAAAGTCTGAGATGGAACATATTGCAACACTTTAAAGTTAAAATTAAGGGAGACATCCCCTCATTTTTAACTTGACTCAAAGTGGCAGCTTAAAGCTTGGCATTCTCTCAGTTTCACTATCTCACACTCTCAGCTCCTTTGTAAAGGACTCACGGTATGTTTTTCCATGGATTGTGGGTCTGTGTTGAACCCATATAACTTCATTCACTTAATGAAGCTTCTCAGGTTAGGACCTCAGACAATACAGAGGGAAAGATACATTCACAAAGTTGAGTTCAGACCATTTAAGATAAATTTGGGCAAGACCCTGGCTCACAGTCACTGACTTCAGAGAATAAGTGGATTTTTTAATTTGAATGACTCAGTGAAACAAGGTGGAATGAACTGGGGCTTTAGCCCACAAATGTATCATCTTGCTTTGAACATTAAAATGAAACTTACAGTATTACCCTCTATAGGAAGAATGTGGAAATGTGAAAAATGTGTAACTTCAGATAAAAAATTAAAGACCTTTCAAGATAGCAGTAGACTGTGATGCTATTCAAATTTTCACACTGATAAGCACCTTAAACCCCCTATGTTGTAATTTTAAGTATTGACAATGCTGTTGAAGTCAGCCTGCAACCCACAAATAGTGCTTTAAAGGGTGGGAGATGGAGGCAAGTATTTAATCTTCCTTTGTAAATGCTGTGCTCAGTATCTCTCACTTTGCTGAGAAAAGGCCAAGGCTTCTTCAAGGGACAAATAAACCCCATTGAGGGAGCTACAGTCCAAGACCATGTTAAGTTTTATTTCCTTTCCTTTCTCCACCCCACTGAGGAATGAGACTTCTTATCACCAAACAGTCCTCTCTCCCACTCACTATTCCCCCATGACCCACAGATTATTTTCCTGCCTTCTGATCCCTAAGCCAAGTGATTTTGTTCTGCTTAAAAAGTCTTCTGTGGAGGGGCCTTTTCTTACTTACTGCCAGCTGAACTAGAGGGTAAAGATCCACTTTCACTGCCCCAGCTTTTCCTCCCTTTCTGAATTAATTTCCTCTGTGTTACTGATTTCTGCTGACAGAGGCAGGGCTGTAAGGAGGAAATGTCCACAGAAGTTCAAGAGGGTCAGTAAAGTAAGTGCAGGATGACAGAGAGCAGAGAACAAGACCAATACTGTATGTACTACAACAGTGTCACAGTATTAGGTCTGAAGAACTTGTGTTTTGTGTGATTTTCTGTGTATTTAGTATTCTGATACTGCTGTGATATTGAACTACCACTACATCTAATGTGTAGAAAGCTAGAAATGAACTTGGAATCTGCAGGAATCGGTAACAACTGAACTTTAGGTTACTATGGATCTCTGCCTTGCGAATAACTGTCTCTGCAGAGCTTTGCCAAAAGTGAACAGCAATCTCAGTTGTGGAAAAACTGAAAGGAGAGTTCAAAAAGTTCAGCAACTTAACTTGAACTGCACAAAAAAAATGCAGACATGTTTGATATTTGCGACATAGGAGTAACAATTCATTCACTTTTATCATGTGGGATGGAGCTCATTAGGCTTTTAAAGCAAACACCTGAAAGCATTTAACATTGTGATACACCAAACTTCCTTAAAAGGAAAAAATACAACGATTTAAAAATCTGTATCCAAGATAACAATTTGTATCTATACAAAGCACATCTTTTGTAGCACAAAGCAGCCGGCAGGTGCAGCAGTTTGCTCTTGCTCAGACTTACAATCCTGTTTCATGCCAAAGGCGATGCATCTCTGCAGCCTGCAGTACTGGCAGCGATTCCGGTGGTGCTTGTTAATGACGCAGTCCTTCGTTCCTCGGCACGAATAAACCAAATTCTTCCGTATGCTCCTTTTAAAGAACCCTTTGCATCCCTCACAGGTCACTGCTCCATAATGACGCCCTAGTTCCAAAGCAACAGAAAACGTGACATCAATTTTACAGTATCATATTCATTTTATAGACTTGACATTTATTAAAGACAAAGTATTAGCTATTTTACCCACAAAAGGAACACTTGTTTTTCCCATTGCAGATCTTAAAATATACTGAGGCTATAAAACATAAAAAGCAAGAAGTGTTTTTCTAGTTCAGAGCTCTTAAACAAAATTTTACAAACAAGCAAGTTGCTTATCAAATTATTTCTTTATCTGTTGACAGCAGTGTTAAAAAAGACTAAGAAAATAGGTAAGAACATAGCAAAAAAAAAAAATTAATTTATAGATTCCTCTAGTGATTTTTCTGTGATTTCTCATTACAATTTCAGCTGTTGAAATTGTATGCCTTAAATCTAATGCAACAATGGAAAGTGCAAACATGGCATTGACAGCGTGAGGCAATCACTTCAAAGCTTTATTTTCACCTTTCATTTTCCTAACAGGGTAATGGTATGTCCACAGTTCTTGCAGTAAAGCATCAACGAAAGAATAATCTAAAAGAAGTACAATTTTTTTTTGAAGACCAGTTCTGCAAGTTTTCCGTATAATATAAAAATTTCTATAATATACTACAAAAAAAAAGATATAATTTTTAGAAGCGAATTATTTTGATTTTGCATAAAATAGAAACATTAATAAAAAGGATTGATGAAGGCATGCTTGGCAGTTACAACAATTTTCATTTATGAATCCTTGAAATACATACGGTACATTACAGAATAAATCACAAATATAACCTAATTTAGGAGAAAACATTTTAAGCTTCTTTCCTGAAGTTTCTAGAAATTCTGACAGGTTTTCTAGATTCCTCTATGACAGACAACCTTTTTACCACTACTAAAATGTGAAATTTCAAAAGCATCATATGTATTAAAAGAATATCGTCTGAAACATTTTAGGAGCAGCTGGATTATGAATATTCATTCTGCAAAGCAGCAGGGCTGCTGTTTCCCCTACTCTTTTGATGTAGCTTCTTGGATTCCAGCTTGGAAGTATCTGCAAAGCAGTTTTCATGACAGGGCTTGTCACATGGGAGGCTCCCCAAAACCTGCAGCTGCTCAGAGAAACATGGCTCTGTCCCCAGAGTCACTACCACTGCCCAATATTCCAAGGCCAGCACAGGAGGAAATCCTCCTTGGATCTGCAGCCCCTCAAGGGAGACTCCAGCCCTCCTCTGGGGAGTCAGAGAAGTTTTAACATTTAGAACATACCAAACAGATCTTTGCCTTAAGTTTGGCAGAAATTTCCTTGAGATGGGTGAGGTCTGACAAGTATTTAGAGCTCTAGCAACCGTATTTTTTATGTAAAACTTTGCCAATTTTTTGAAAAAAATATTTAATACATTTTACTTTCTAGCAAGTTTGCTCCCTGCTGAAGGGAGATCTCACAGTGTCTGCAGGTTCCTCACAAGAGGAAATGGACAAGCAGGCACTGACCTACTCCCTCCAGAGCCAGGACCCAAGGGAATGGCACAAAGCTGGTTAGGGAGAGTTTAGGTTATATGTTAGGGAAAAGGTTCTTCACCCAGAGGGTGACTGGGCACTGGAACAGCTCCCCAGGGAAGTGGTCACAGCACCAGCCTGGCAGAGCTCAAGAAGAGTTTGGACAAGGCTCTCAAGCACAGGGTGTGACTCTTGGGGTGTCCTGTGCAGGGCCAAGGGCTGGACCTCAGTGACCCTTGAGGGCCCCTTCCAGCTCAGGATATTCTATGAAAAACAACAATAAATTCTATCCATGGATACTAGAGTACCACTTAGTGAAATTCTCCACTGCATGTATAGAAATTTATACATGTATATGCATGCAAACTGTTACACAGCTTCAGAAGAATTTTAAACTGCCTTTATAAAATTGCACCACCTTAAAAAAAAGAAAGAAAAAACCAAATACCTGATGCTTTGTCTCCACACACAACACACAGATCAAACACTTTATTTAGGCCCTGTTCATTGGGGGAGTTGTCCGTTAAAATCTGAAAAAAAGTGTGAAAGAATTTAATTCTTATTTTTCTCACCATTTAGAAATAATAAATATATCTCATACTCGTGTTTTTTGTCTAAGATAGGGGACTAAATCTACAAAGTATCATGTTTTCTTGATTACATGTAATACTGCCATGCCACTGTGCTCCCTTTCAGGAGGGAACAAGAGTTTTACTTGTAATGCTTTTGAGAAGAATTCAAGATCTCATTTCTCTAAATACTACTTTTGCAAAATGGACTGACATTTTGAAAAACTTTCAGCATCTGCATACTCTTACCATTTGTTCAATTTTATATTTCTATACTAGTGGTTCATTGATAGTACAAAAGAGATGGGAGCACTGAACAGATGGAACTAAAAAAATTCCTTGCAAAGGCTACTGGACCTCCACAGAGGTTTAATACTTTCTTTTTTTATAATACACAAAATATGGACCAAAAGGAAATGTACTCTGGACACAACCTTTAATTTCCAACTGGTATATAGCTTGGCTTTCAGTAACAGTTTGACATTATAAAAATATTATTGTCTTGTCTCAGCCATTTATCTCTGGTACCTGTAAAGCTTTGTTAAGCCCATAATTTTAGAATCCCAGTACTACAGGGCAGGTACCAGAACATTTCACTTAACCTTTGAAAACTATCCCACCACAACATAAATAAAGCACAGAAAAAATCCATTTAAAAAACGAACATACAAATCACAAGTAACAACCAAACATCATCTTGACATAGAAAAGAAAAAAATGTTCTTCTCATTCAAAAGAGAATATAGTTTAGAAGCTGTAAGAGTTTTTAACTTCTACTGTGCTTTAAAGGGAAGCCAGACTCCACATTCCTGCTTTGCATGTTCAGAACAGGACCTCTGATAAAATGGGAAGTAAGCAAAACAGAAAGTACTCTCTCCTCCAGAGAGAAAATTTGGAAATTGTGTTTTTTAGAGTTTGGAACATAGTACAGATGATGTATGTAGGAAAGTTTAACAAGCATACTTCTTTCTAGTTAGCCTTGTTACCAATACAGTCTCTGAGAATCATCTAGTATGTTTTCTTTAAAAAAGCACCAACTTTTTAAGAAAAATAAGATGATGAGTTAAGAGAATATTAACCTATTGATCCATCCAAATGTCCAGTATTAACATTATGTATTTTCATGATATTATAGAAAATATAAATTCTAAGTCCTTCCATAAACTAAAGCTGCACTGAAATGGGAAGTTCCACATAAGGAAGGACTACAGAATCGGCCCATGAGGAGATAAAAACCCCAGACTCAGAGAACTTATTAACTGACCTTGAACATGAAGAATAAAAATTTACTATTAATACGAAAAAGAGCCACTGAAGTTAAAATAGATGATGGGCGAAAGGGTCTTGCCAAATGAGTCAATGTAAAGATAAGGTGCAATAACAGAGAGGTTTTTGGCAGAACAAACAAATGGGCATTTCAAGTAAGGGCTACAGAAGAAGAAGAAGAAAACAAGTGAAACTGGAGATGGAAAGATCATTTGAGGGAGAAAATACAAAAGATCCCAAAGGGATGCAGGGGAATGGCAAATGAATGGTACTCTGTATTTCATGGGATTTTAAATGAACAGAGGAAATCTCTACCCATACATATTCGAGGACAACAGAACAATGTAACTGGGGTGACAGAATACCCTGTTGCTTCTCAAACTCATCTATTTTGCCCAAATGATACAATCAGAACTACAGCTTTCAATTTTTTTTACAGATTTCCTCTTTTCCTGAATTTTGCCTTATAAACCAGTGTGGCATACTTCTCATCTCTCAAGTTGTCTTTGAAAATAATTATTATGTGGACTACTCATATCCCACTAGGTTATATTTTTGTTGAGGCTTACCTAAAATACAAAGTGCATGATAACACTAAGCATGCTTCAGTGCCTCTCAATAGGATTGGCTTTTGCTACTGGTCCCATATTCACAGTAATCAAATTCTTTGGAGCAAGGACCTAGGGTGTCCATTTACAAAGAACTGTGAATTTCAAAAATAGTAATATCATGTAATACAGAGATTCTTTTAAGCTTATACAACGTGTAGGTAGTGAATCAGTGGACTGGTTCACAGAAGAGCACAAACTGAACAGTGAAAGAGTCTGCAGCTGAAAAGAGATTGCTTGAAAGAGGATTTTGTAGTGATCTATAAACCCTCACACAAATCCTTAATAGTATCTTCTAGTGCAAGAGACACCTAATTAAACAATTCTCTCAGATGGTCAAATAATCTAACGTGTTCTTGGCACACCATAGGATATTATACAGAATAAAGCTTACATGATCTATATAAATACCAAAAAAAAGGTTGTTTAATAGCAGCTATCAAATATGTTGGTCTAACTGCAGTCTCCAAATCAGGAGCTTCCTCTGTATCATCAGCTAATGGAAGTAAAAGGATGTGCTCAAAAAGATCATTATTTACTTGGCCATCTTTTAACATTTTTCCTTAAGCAGCTGTTTAAGTGTTTGATATGGGACTAACTGGACTGCAGCTGTCTGAATGCAGTGTGGGACTAACTGGACTGCAGCTGTCTGAATGCAGTGTGGGACTAACTGGACTGCAGCTGTCCGAATGCAGTGTGGGACTAACTGGACTGCAGCTACCTGAATGCAGTCTGGCCCACCACTGATGTACTGTAACAGCAGCAGCAATGTGTCTGGGTGGAACACATGCAGTAACTGTACTGCAGCTGGATGCAGTATCCCCCTACTTCATGCTGAAGCAGGTCACATCTCCCAGCTCTCCCTGCATGCTTCTGACACTCTTCACATCAGTGCCAAGCCATCCCTGCCAGGCTGGGACAGAAAGCCTGGAAGCTGAAGGGTGGCAACTAAGGAAATGGCACATACAATGTGCATGGAGTAAGGTACACTGGGGACCAGCTAAGGGAGCTACAACCCTGCCTAGCTACAATATCACATTAGTAAACACAAAAGCATTCGTGTTATTTCCTCACCCCCATGGAGTCAGGTATTGCCCCACTGAACAGTCTGAGCACTGCTGTGGACTACAATTCACACAGCTGAACAGCAGTTGCAACAGCGTGCAAAAAGGAAAACCAGCAAAGGGAAATGTTAAGAGAGAAGGACAATGGAGAAAGTGAATGTTTTTCAACAATACATGAAAACAGATGGAGAGTTAACGAGCAGAAATAAAGGACTGTTGGCATGGCAGAATCTGGAAATGACAATAAAAATAACTGTATTTTTCCTAATGTCATGAGCCAACATAGAAATTTTAAAAGCAAGAAATTTACTAAAAAAAGTTTTTTCATAATTTTTAAGTATCCACAGTGAGTCGTAGTGCAAGGAAAATTATACTTAAAAAAACCCCCAAAAAACAAAAAGGAGAACCCAGACAGACTTATTTGGAAATAAAACATCTTTTCTTATCCCATTTGAATGAAAAATATGAAATAAAGTGGATTATCTACCTGGATGTGTTGTGCAGATATATCAGGGGATGCAAAAAACAGTTGGTTGACACCTGCAGCATCTGGAGTTGCTAGGATAACTTTTCCTGGAGTGGAATCTTGTCTGGCAAGGATCACCTTGCTTGGGGTAGAGCCATCATGATTTGTTAAGATGAACTGCTTGCCTGCTGAGCTCTGATCAAGTGATGTAACAATCTGAATCTTCTGGCCCGTCTGCTGATCTGTGACAATCTAATAATACATTTATCTCAATTGTTATGGTGATTTAACCTTTTGGACCCAATCCGGGCACTTGAAGAAAATGGGATTTTGCCTTTCACATTTGAGAAGCAGGATCATCTTCCCCTCCATCACACAAGAGTGAATTAAACTCAGGCAAAAACCTGGATTCTAACTGTATTTGAAACACATTTCAATCAAGGTGTTTGAAGTAAAACCTGAGTCTGTACTCAATTTTTACAACTGACACATGTTTTTACAACACTACTGAAACTCCTGACAATTCTAACACCCAGAACTCAAGGCATGGCTGTAGCTGAGCCCTAAGACCCATCAGGTTATAAGAAATATTAAATCTTGAATTCACTGCTCTCTACATGAAGTGTCTGCAGCACCTCCAAGGTTTGGTTACTTAACATGGAACTTCTTAAAACCACAAACGTAGATGTCCAAGTGAAAAAAGCAAGCAGTAAACAGCAGGAAAAGCAATTATATTGTCGCACCTTTATATACATTTTAGGCTTCATTTTGTGGGGGCCTTTTTTTACATAAACATTTCTAAATAAATCAGTGAAATAGAATCTCCTTCCCTGCCTTTTTTTCTTTTCTTTTTTAAGGAAAAAGAACAGATCTACGGGGTGGTTTTTCCCATTTTATCCCTGTTTTCAAGCACAAATACAGCAGAATTTTATCAAATAATCCTCTACCTTCTGCCAACTTTGTCAGAAGATTATAATCCTCAGCGAAAATAATCAGGATTCCATATATATTCCATTATAGATCTCACTTATAGTCACTGCATATCTCCTTAAAAATGTCTATATGGAAAACTGCCTGGTTTATTCTGGAGACTAAGGAGAATTATCCTACAAAGACTGTTTCCTGCAAACTATTTTGAATTACAGATCAATAAAATAGCTCCTATTAACTTCTTTTTTAAACTGTAGACAAACATTTATGTTTATCTACACATGCCTACCATTCATATTATAGATAAGAATTTTATTTTGATTACAGATGACATTTATTTAGTTGTCTAATATTTACCATAACTTATTCCCCATAACTGGGGTGCCAATATTAATTGCATTTCCTAGGTGGAGAACTATGGCACAAAGAAACTGAGTGAGGCATAATTTCACATGAATTCTTTATCAGCTTTGCTATTGCACCTTCACAACAGGCTTATTACTTTCTCTAAATGCCCAATGCCTGTGTAGAGTTCGCATTTTAAAAAGATAAGCAGTGATGAGCATCCAATTTCAGCAGTTATAACACAATATTGCCACTTTCAAGTATTCATAAATCATGAGTTTCATTACACAAAATAATTGTGTTTCCTTCAGGTGGCCTTGTGCTCTTAACATTTTAATGGATCAAAACTCAAATCTTTTTCTCTACACAATATGATTAAAAGCATATCTAAGAGAAAAGTGCAGGTAAATGATAACATTCTAAATGCCAAAGAACTTGTCATGGGATTTGGGGTGTAGGGTGAGAAGACAATGCTAAAACATGACAATAATTATTGACACGATAAATTTTCTGTGCAGTTTTTTCATATATCCTCATGTCTGGGACCACATATGGCTACAGTAGAGCATTATTTCTTCTTTAAGTTCCTTTAGATTGGTTCCATATTCTTTAGAAGGCAAACTTCCTTGCCCCTTCAATTCCCTTCATTCCTTAATTTAATTTTCTTTGCTCCATTTTCCTTCATTCACAATCTTTATTTCTTTGGTAATTTTTGGCTATTTCCAACGTAGCTGATATTCCATTCCCTTTCTTTCCAAGCATCTAGCATCTTTCCAAGCATTTTATTTGGATTAGGAGAAATCCAATGTATATTATGCTCAACAGGGTGCATAGATGTACAAAAGCCAAACAGAACATTGTGCTGTTTTTTGAATCTCCAGACCTGCTCTTTGAAAGATAAGATACTCTTAACTAAAATCTGTCTCCATATCAAATCTTAAAAGCATAACTGAGAGTACCCCAAAAAGGTACATATTCCATCTAGTTAGGTTTATAAAAAGTATACCCAAAAACCAGCAAGTCCCAAACACAAACTTGAAGTACAGCTGAAACTATTTTTGGAACATATATACTAAGTAATCTTTTTTCCTACTGTAGCCCAGCTGTGTAATTAAAAAAATATATGTACTTGTAGATAAATAAGGCAGGAGAGTAGGCAGAAGAACCACTGACACTTCACCCAATTCACTTCACCTTCTATTTAACAAATCGAGTCCCAGTCTTCCAATGGGCTCCTGCAATCCTAGGAGGATGCCCGGGCAGTTTTCACTACATGATAAAGTAGGTACAGTGCTACATTAATATTTACAAAGCTATTCAACCTGCACAAGTGATCTCTGCACCTGACAAGCATCTGACAACTGACAGAGCCATAAGAGAAATCAGTGTAAACACTTAAGCAGGTTTTCTTGACTGCAGCTGACTCTTATGGCCATACACCTGCAAAGCCCCACCTGCACTGCAATGGGGACACTGAAAAGGGGAGCAGTTCAGCACAGCAAAACAACCTGCAATACCTAAATGTCAAGGTAAGAGAAAAACATTGTCAAAGGGAAGAGGAAAAACATTTATCTTCTGACCACGAATCCACCACGAATCAGTGACAACACATTATCTTTCTTAATAACCTGAAACTCAATATGGCTAAAACAATAATATTATAAAACAGGAATATATCAATTCAGGATTGACTGCATAAAAAATACACTACCCTCATGTATTTCAAATAATCACCCTGATGATAATGGAGGATATTGTTTTCCTTTATTGCTTTTAAGCCTTGTTTGTTAACAAGTTTTGATTTCCATTTGAACATCATTTCAATAAACACCTCAGTATCTGTGTGTTCCTATTTTACAAAAAAGCAAATGTCTAAATACAGACAACTAATACACTTGCTTATAACAGGAGCAATTTTGTGCAGAATGCCTGTTGAGCAAATGTAACATTCAACTTTTCTCCCAGAAGAAATGCTAGCATTCCCTAAGAGTGACTAATGAAACATGTTTTAAAGAATCTTCTACTGAGGATTTTCTATTTCATTGTTTCAGATAATTAGGTGCATTTAATAATAATAAAGGAAAAAATAAAGATTGGAAATATAAACTCAAAATCATTAAATGTAGCATTTATGTTGGACATTTCACAGAGATACATTTATTCCTACAAACTACTTTGCTCTTCACATAAATTCTTCTCTGAGCAAAGTTTTTATTACTAAGTTTGATACTAGTGATGTTTGTAGATGTCTCTTGCAGGAAGGATGTGTGTTTTGACTGAGTGTTGTTCCACACACATCAAGAGACAACAGCCAAAGTGCTTACCATCCTTTTTGAAGACAGAATGCTGTTTAATTGATGAGCACAAATTAATTAATAAAAAGTACAGCTGTACAGGAAGTGAGAAACAGAGCAGAGGCAGCTGAAAGAATGAAGACCTACATGATTGGTAAGACATACCACAAGTAGAGCACAGGTGGAGGGGTAATAAATCTAAAAAAACCCCATATTGTATAGGGGGTGGTTGTGAAGAGCCTTGGAAGGTTGAAAGCTTGCACATAATGCACCAAAACAGGAGAAAAACAGAGGACAATGTTTAGAGTGAAGCTGCTAAAAGAAAAAGCAGCCAAGATTATACTAGCAGCTGGCTCACTTAAATGTGTGCTTTTGTATGAACAACATATATCTGAGAATATTTTTTACACTTATTCTGCAGTTGATATTTTTCTCTACAATGAAAATTAAAAATAAAACTGATTTGCACTGACTTCTATGGCATAAAACATAAAATTTCATTCCCCAAATGTTCCTAGTCTCCACAGAGATCTGTGTGTTGATTTATATACCTACATTGCCAAAAACTTCACTACCCTCACTTCAGCTGGAGGTTATTACTTGACCAGGTTATGGATTATAATACCAAGAGATACAACATGGGTTGGGACAACCAAAAATCAGTATTCTTCTCAGACATTAAGTTTCTCTGCATTTTTTCATTACTTCAAAGATACAATGCAGTATTTCCCTCTCCACTTCTGCTCCAAAATGTAGAAATCCTCCAACTTAGTTGAACTACCAAATAGAAAAAAAATTCAACTTTCAAGGAATAGCTTCACTTGCAAAAAGTATTTTTCTGTTCAGTGATTTAGGATTTTTGTGATGTTAAAATTCTTACAAGAGAAAAAGAAAAAAAAAAGAAAAAGAGAGGAAAGACTGGAATGCTGTTTTATTCCTATTCATACAGAAAGGGTCTCTGCCATCTGGGGCTGAATATTTACATTAAAGCAAGTAACAAGATGAAAACAAAAAAGAATGCATGTGGAAACTGGCAGAAGCAAATAGCTCATGTCTGTTTTAAAATGCATCAGATGAAGCATACCTGTATACGCTGTGATAAAGAGAGGCCCGAATCTGCAGGGACAATCTGTATTCGCTGTGCTGCCCCATCCATGAGTGTCTGTGCACCTCCTTCCTGTGAATGTGTAACCTAGAAAGGAGAAACAAATGGCATGGACTGACAACAGATAGACTATTTTAATGGAGCCACTACCTTAATGGAGCAAACCTTCAGCTTTCATCAACTTCCAGTTCCCCGAAAAAAGCCAAGGAAAAACCGAAAACCCTAACCAAAAAAAAAATATGAATGCCTGTAATCTAGTTCAACACTTTAATTTTTCTAATTAGAAAATTCTGATTTAGACCCATTTCAAAGCACCCTCCAATGTGAAATTTACAAATACTTTAAGTGAAGCAATTAATTGTTGACATGTCTGTGTATGGCAACCCACCCGAATATTTACTACTGTTGATGGTCATGAGACACAATACCTACCATCACAGCTGTGCTATGTTTGCAATAAATGTACTTTAATGGCTCACTTGAAGTGACAGAAGGGTTTTTTTGTATGGAAACAGCAATTGGCAGTTTCAATTCTGTTTTTCTGTTAAAGAATTCTATACTGGAGAACAATTAACAAAGGCAGGGAAAACTAATAAATTGTGTAAAGTTTGCAAATAGTGTATCTTGTATTAAAATATCTGCATGAATGCTCTCAAACACAATTTATTGAAGTATTTTAACAATTATCAGTATTTTAAAAATTCTTCACAGCCTACAGCCAATGGCATGGAGGGAAGGTATTGTGTTATTCATTACAATATCTGTCAATAAAAATTAAGGACAGCTGCGATTTGTAGAGGCTCGATCAGAAAGGCCAGATTTTTTGCACTGTAAAGAGAATTTCTCTTCACAGAGCTTACAGACACTTTTAACCTGAAAGTTTTGTCTTAAATTCCCAGGTAACTCCAAAACCTTTTTGCTATTCACAAAACTGCCTGCAACATCCTATAAATCTCTATTACCAATAATTCCCAGTATTTACACCATTACACCAATACATCTCTGCACCTCATTGCCCCTCTGCCTCTCCCAATTAATACAGAGAATATATATGGATATTGCAGTCAAGGTACTATTTCATAACAGTTTGTGAGGCTTTTTGTTCCTCCTGGATCAGCTTCCTGATTTTGCAACCATACCATCATCTAAATGCTAGTATCAGCAGACAAAAGCAGGCCAGAACACACAGCTCGAGGTCAGTACGAGAGAGGGGTGGGGTGGAGGGTAAGACTCCCCCTTTAGCAGACATACAAGCTCCCATTACCCTATGTTGATTTTAAAATTTTGCCCAAAAAGGTGCTACTTTTGGTAGCAATCTCATGATTTACTTGCTCCTCTCCCCTCAGTGTGGCAGGTAAAACTGGCTGGTCAGTCATTCCGTGATCTGGCACCGGACACCAGTGCAGGCTGAAAAGCAGCCCAGCAAACAAAGGCTATTCTTAGCACAGATCTTCTTCAATCCAGTCTCCACAATGCTCAGAAGCAGATGCATCAGAGCAAATGAGTGAGGCTAATCTGCTGGGGAGATTACTTAAACTGCCAGCACCACCAAAAGAAATGCTTGTCAAACTACTGCCGAGTCATTTCTGGACACTGCTTTCTAAAAATACCCAATTTTTCTGAGTACAAGTACTTTTAAATAATATCTGCTTCTTTGCTTCAGTAAAGGACAAAAAACTGTTCATCAACCAGCAGCATTTTCAGTTCAAGAGAGGTACTTTCAAGCACTGAAGTTCTGCATCAGCCACTGAAATCAACAGGTACATGTGTTGATTCAGAAGTGATTAAAGTTTTACATGCATTTACCTTTGCTTTACAAAATAAGCTACATGTTAGAGAACTGCTTCACATTTGCTCCCTTAAAATGTCATGATCCACATGTACTTTTTAACCCCACAAAATGTCAGCTTGACAGTTTTAACTTCTATGCAGAATACAAGGTTAAATTTTTATTTCAGTTAATATCGATAAGAGTAACTGCAAAATTTGTTTAAAATTCTACTTTTTATGTGTGACAGACTGTTTCAACAATGATATAGCTTTCCTCTGTTGCAGCAAACTGGCAGGACTGTGGAAATGAAACACCACAGTTTAGTGTATGCAGCCAGAGATTAAATAAAGAACGCTCTTGGCAGGTAGCTTTGCTACATGATTCAAGAAATGTGGTCTTGATACAGAAATAGGAATTATCTTGCACTGAGCAAAAGATGACTAGCAGATGGCAGAATCTGAGCAACAACAATCACTGCACTATGCTCCATACACACAGGGTTATATTTTGCTTCAATGTTTTGCTTTCATGTAAAAAGGCCTAAATCAACAAAAGTATGCTTGTGAACACCACTGTTAAACTGTTGTGGTAATTTTGTGATTTAAAATGCTTCATGAACAACAATTAACATTATTTTAAAAAAATCAAAATCTATGTACAAAAAACACTTCTGATCATTATTTCAATGAGACACAGAAGCATTTCCATTATCCTCAATAGTGGAACACGTTTTCTCTTCAGGTCTTCTTCCTTTCAGGTTCTACTCATGTAAATTTTTCTTGTAAATTCAATTAAAACTACTTCAACAAGAGTATTATAAATGTTAGCAAAAATACTGCTGAAGCTCTCTAGATCTTAAACTATGATTTTTCAGTGATTAGGAATGCCACCAAGCAATTACAGCCTGTATGTAGGCAGGAATGTAAGTTATTGCATGGAGGCCCCTGTGAGACTGCTTTCCTTGCTGATTCCACCTTTCAGACAGCACATTCATGCATGGCTTGGACCTGTGACAACAATTTTGGCCTAAGGGGTCCCAGTTTGCACTGCCCTCAGGGATGCTTTCCAGTCCTTCCAAGCACACGCCTGGTTGGGCCGCACACTGATCACAACCAACAGGGAGATGACCTTCCCCCCCTATGCTGTCATTCATTTTTTTTCCTAGTTTTGTCCACACATGATGACACACAGAGCTTACATGAGCAAGACTAGCACAGGGTGAGAATAAGTGGCTAAGTGAGGACTGGGGAATGGTTAAGCTGCACTGCTGCCAAATATGGTGTGACCATCTTAGTCAGTAAAACCTTGCTAAAGCACAAATCCTAATCTCCACTGCTGACAAAACAACAGCCATGAAAACTGTACAGCTGTGATTTCACCATGAAGAAGAACAGCTACAGCTCTCTGCAGCACTGGACCTTCACTCTCCCTGTTTTCTCCCCTGCCTTCCTTTGGCTACCAGTGTGCTGGCTCTGGTAGTCACTGGGGCCTTCTCAGACCCTACTCTATGCTCACCCAGCAGAAAATCTTCCACTTGTTTTGGCCGGGTTATTAGCTTGCTCTTGGTGGGGAAATTAATAAGGAAAGAAACAGAAAAAGGACCCGGTCTCTCCCATGGTACTGAGATACTAAGTCACCTCAGTGTGTCCTGGAATCACATTATGAAATTGAGAAACAAACCCCAGAGGCAAACACCTTCATCACGCCATCCTGAGGGGAATGTACACTTCAGCTAGCTTTGACTAGCCTTGCACTGTCAAAACCAAACCAATTTAAACAGGAAATACAGCCCTATTTAGTCCTCAACAAAGAATTACAGTCCCAAAACAAAACTGCATTAAACACGTGTTCTCACCTAATGAAGAGGACAAGTAATAACAAGCAAACATCCCATAAACCACTTAAGTCTTTTGAGATTGCCTTAGCAGCACTCAGAACAACTCGTGCTACAAAAATAAAAGCTGTGAAAATTTATTCAGAGTAGAATAAACCATCCCATCCCCCACTCCAACCTTTCCATCTGAAATCAATGCTGAGAGGAAATAAAATTACTTGAGAAGTAAATCTACGTCTAGACAAGAATCCAAGAGTGGATATTTCAAGCTAAAAAATAACAGTTATTGAAGATAAATAAATTACTGCCTCTATCTAATTTTACATTGGTGTTAATTTTAAATAGTCTATGCTATGCTGAAATTTTCTAGATAACTATGTATACCCATGTCCACACTCCCAAACTATCTGTGCATCTCTGGCAGTTCTCTGGCTGCAGCACACAGATTCTGCACATAGGTCACACAGAACCAGAACTAGAAATCTGCAGAAACAGGAGCCCAATCTTTCTTTTGACACCTAGCAAGCACATATATCTGAAAGTGAAGAACATGGCAAGACTTTACTAGTGAAGCCAAAAATGACAAATGAAGTAATTGCATAGTTGTGTCCTGACTTTTTAAACTACGAGGGAGTAAAGCAATTACACAGCCAGATGGCTCTCTGAAAACCACTACAGGCTCAGGCAGCAAGCTGAAAAGCTGGTGCCCTAGTGGAAACCCTGTTAGATTGTTCTTAATTTTTGTGGGGTGCACTTTGGCAAAAAAGGCTTTGCAGTGTAACTTTAAAACGGACATAAAATGGAAGAATGGCTCTTCTTCCTTCTGAGGGAAGTGTCCAGAAGCCTTGTCTGTATCAAAAATTTTCTTTAATGATTTGGGCTTTTACATGTCAGTCTCTGCATTTTATTATGCAATTTCTCTTAAATAGGACTCAAAATTTATGTACCTCTCCCATCTGCTGTTCAAAAATTTGATGGGCCAGTTCCTCTATGGTTGCCATGATCTTTAATCACCAGAATTTCCTGTCAAAGAAAGGAAAGAAGATGCTTAACATCTGTAGTTTCAAAAGTAAAAATATTCTGGGGAAAATACAGTTCACATAAGTGCGTTCACGGTTGTATGAAGATGACATCCCTGCAGAATTTAAAGTTTGCTTATACTTTAAAAATAAATAATTTGCTATTTGAAAACCTTGTATTGTTTTATTTAAATAACTCACACAGAGACTTCCTATTTTTCCTCTTCTGCTTTTCCAACAAGCAACAATAAAATCACTGTGAGAACAGAAGTCTATTACTGACCATGACATCAGCAGGTCCAGGTTTAACATCTTAAAAAACTGGAACACAGGAGGTTTTTGTTAATGTGAATCAAGAGGGGCAAATCTAACTTCTGAACCCATACAGATTTTTTAGTATTAACAGGAGTGCTTGAAGATCAATTTTGTAACTAACAGGCAGCAGTACTTGGGACACAGAAGACAAGTGTTTAAAAAAAACGATGATGTTTCATTATCAATACTGCAGCCACAGCACGAGCCCAAATCTTCCTAAGAAGAATTTTGTGGGGTTTAACAGACACTGCTACATTAATGCAGTAAAAAGGATTCAGATGCATGCCTTGTTTATTTGTCAAGGCATACATTATGTGTTATATTATTGGTATACAAATATTCACTAGGCAGTACTTAAAAGGAACATTCACAGATTATAAAGCACCATATAAACAATTTTACTGACAAAAGCAAATTAAAAACACTACAATACCTACCTCTTGTATGAACAAAGACTACTCTTACACTAATACTGGCTTTTATTCTTTAACTTTTCTGGAACTCCTAGGAATTACCAACTCCTCAATGAAACTTGGAACCTCCCCAATGAGCCATGCAAATAAAAAAATAACTCACTTTTAATTCAAGTTTAACTCAAGCTAATTCTGCTCTTAAAACTGGAAAGAGAAATATTTCTTGACTAGAGCAAGAATTGCAGGCCTTGGAGGTGTGCCCAGTGGTATACTAAAGCCCAATTAATGTGTGAAAGGGGAAATACAGAAATATTTGTCCATTAGACCATTCTTAATCATTCACTAGCGAGCTGCATTATTAGTTAAATTAGGACAAAAGATAACAGGCATGCATATAGAGATATGATACTGAAGCTTATGCTGAAAATCATTATCACCTAGGAAGATCTAGGTGTTAGCATCCTTGCAGGAGCACTCTGTTAGCCCACTTCTGCATCCAGTGAGCTGCAGCACAATCACTGTTCAAAGAGCACTTGGAATTTTCAAGGCAGGCAATGTGTCCTATCAATGTTTTCTTCTTTTAAATAAAATACTAGCAATCAAATATTGTACTGTTAACATACAGAGTGCCAGAAATGAGTGCTACTTCATTACACAGTAACAAGGAAATCACTTTGAGGTATTAATTTGCACCAGCTGGTTAGTTCTCCTAAATCAGATGCAACTGCCCTCATGTCAAGATGTGAGCTAAGTAAAACAGCTTAGCTTGAAGACTCAAAGTGATTTAAACTGGCATGTTTCACCTTGGAGTAAAGCAGTGAAGGAATACATTTGTATGCAACTACAATGCATCATTGGGAAACTGGCTCTCAGAGAGGCATAAACCTGGCAGAGAATTTTTGAAACTTATCTAAAACAGACTTATTTGAACTGCACTTGCATGAACATAGGACATCAGGTTCACAAACAAGACTGAAGTCTTATGATGAAGAGGAACCTGGAGAAAAGGTGGAACCTATCCTACCTCTTCATGCTGTCTGGAACAAGCACAAGGTGGTTCAACTTAGGGATGCAGAACCAGCTGTCAAAGCTACACAAATCATGAGTTTGAGGCATGCACACACTGGAAAAGGAACGTACTCACTATTATTGACAAGAATTTACATATTACACCGTGTTTTATATTTGGACACTTGCACTTTCAACTTGCATAAACACTAAGAAGTAGATTCTTTTGTGACTTGTTGCTTTATTTAACTCAGTGATCCCTAAACCAAAGGGCACTGACAAAATCAGTATTTGTAACACCAGTACTCTGTACTAAACTATCTAAATTGAAATCACCTCCAATAAACCATGTAACTTTGCTCTGAAGAGCATGTATAACAGTGAAAAAAGATCAGCTTCAACATTTCAAGTATAAACTCTTAGACAACATTTCATGTTGCAAATCATGTTGCAGATATGGAGAGTTTAACTAGGCATTCCTATCCCATTTTCCATTTTTGGCTTATAATTACATCTCTTTATGTGCTAGAATACTCGTAATGCCTAAGAAATCAGTTCAAGTAACTGAATTGGCAGAAACTTCTTTCTTACTTGCCAAGTCAAGGAATAATTTCAAAGGCCCTTTGAACAGAATTCACAGCCCACTCCCAGGAAGGAGGTCCTGCTCACCCTGACCAAGCTGCAGTGGTCTGGTCTCCACTTTTCCAGTAGGAATATTCAACTCACTAAAAGGAGAGAAAACTCAGCTGGCAGAAATGCACCAAACATCATCTAGGTAAGCACAATGAACTTGATTTCTTTTGCAGTCAGATTCATTTTATTGCAGCCAGAAGAGAGAATATGTTGTTATAAGTCAAGAGAGGGAGGAAAAGAAGGAAGACTCAAGGAGGAGGCAAATCTTCATTCCATTGTTACTGGTGGGAAGCAGATAATTCAGCTGAACTGCACCACAAAACTCTCCCATTGCTGGCTGCCACAGCTCACTCTGGAGTCACACAGACCCACAGGCACCTGAGCGAGAAGCCAGGCCCTCCCTCTCAGGAGCAGCTGTGTTAAGCTGCTCATCTTGTGCTGGGAACAGGGGAGCAGGACAGGTCAAGGGCAACTATCTACAAGTTCTCAGCTAAAATCTACAGATTTTTACAGCTAACTCAGCTGTAAAAGGTTTTGTAGTTCTTATTTTGCTTACCTAGGGTATCTGTGTTAGACTTCCCATCAGGTATGCTTAATCACTCTTTAGACATCCCTGCAAGGAATTAAGCAGAAAAAAAATTGCTTCAGCTGCTTTTCTTCTATTATGTAAATTTTAAAATTTAGCACATTTTTCATATTTTTAAAAGCTTATTTTCCTGAATTACTCCAGCAATATTCTCAGTGGCTGAATTGTTTCACATGAAATAATAAATATATTCTAAATTCAAAGCTACCTGAAATTGAAAAATGTTCCATAAACACCTCACAACCTTCATTTCCCAGCAAAGAAAATTACTTGAGGGATGAAGGAAAGGCCATGGGTGTAGCTTACCCAGAGCTTAGCAAGGCTGAGACCTGACACCATCTGCCCCAGCATTCTCCTGGACAAACTGGCAGCTCATGGCTTGACCAGGGTTCCCTGGGCAGAAAACTGGGCCCAGAGTGGTGGTAAACAGAGCTAACAGAGCTACATCCAGCTGGTGGCCAATCACCAGGGGTGGCCAATCACCAGGGGTGCTCCCCAGGGCTCAGAACTGGGATCAGCCCTCTCCAGCACCTTTACCAATGATCCACATGAGGGGATCAAGGGCACCCTTACTAAGTTGGCAGCTGACACTGAGCTGGGCAGGAGTGCTGACCTGCTGGAAGGTAGGAAGGCTCTGCAGAGGGATCTGGACAGGCTGGATCAAGGGGCTGAGGCCTGGGGATGCTGGTCAGCAGCTGAATACAAGCCAGCATGTGCCCAGGTGGCCAAGAAGGCCAAGGGCTGTGGATCAGCAGGGCTGTGGCCAGCATGGCCAGGACAGTGACTGTCCCCCTGTACTCAGCACTGGTGAGGCCACTCTTCACATGTCATGTCCAGTTCTGGGCCCCTCACTGCAGGAAAGCCTCTGAGGTGCTGGAGGCAGCCCAGAGGACAATGGAGCTGGAGCATAACTTGGTTGTTCAGCCTGGAGGGTTCAGCCTGGAGAAAAGGAGGCACAGCAGAAACTTACTGCTCTCTACAAGCACCTGAAAGGAGTGAAGTTGTATGAGGGGAGGTTTAGATTAGATACCAGGAAAAATTTCTTCACTGAAAGAGTAGTCAGGCATTGGCACAGACTGCCCAGTTGGAATTGCTGTTCCCTGGAAGTGTACAGCACCAGGCCTAGAGACAACCACAGGGATACTGGCTTAACAGCTGAATTCGATTTCTTTTCAACCTTAATTATTCTAAGTATCATCAGTCTGAGTTTTGATCTTCAACAACCAGAAGTGATCTTCAAGGTGTTCTCATCTAACGTGAATCTTCTTGTTTTCAGAAATGCTTTTTTCCATGCTTGTCAAAACCATGCCATACACATTCAAAGGACACACCAGCCCATATATGAGAAATGTTTATTGCTAGTATAGGAAAGAAGTAGATGGAGTCAATTAATTGCCAGGTTTTTCCTTAGAATAGTCTGTTCTCCTTTCAAAATGAATGAGACAAACCATGATAAACCAAATTTTATTCAGATATTTAAGACTGATAATCACATTTTTGCTTCCTTTCTAAAGTTATCTAGAACGCTGAAAGGAGGAAACCTGGAATTCTACAAGACCAGAGACCACAACATAAAAAAGCTGCACATAGTTTTAGGATCTGTTTTATAATGTCCAACAGTTAAAAGAACTGTAACATTAGTTATATCATGACTAGAAGAGAGAAAGGAGAGCCAAGGCTCCGCTCCTGCCAACACACAAGCATTATGTTGTTTACAAACACTGCCCAAATAATTTTTGCTTTATTTATATTTCACTTTGAATACTCCTGCAAAAATTATTTTCAACTGCTGCTGTTTCAACCAGTAAGCCTACAGCTGCCTATAACAAGTACTACTCAATTGGTCTACTGGTTTCCCTTTTTCACATCAGACCAAGATCCTTGCCTTTACTTTTACCACAAAATTTCTGAAAAATGAAGTGGTAAGAAGTTCTTTGTCCCACAGCCATTTAGCCACTGACACTGTCACAGCTTAAGCTCTTACTTCCTTCTTTGACTTTCTACCACTATAATCTGACACACTATAAAACTACAGAACAAACATAACCTTTCTAAAATTTTCCTTTAAAAAGATTTGTTGCTGACAAGTATGTCAAATGTCAATATGATTAAACCACTGCCTCTGCAAATGTACATTCTAGTTTGGCAGCCTTGTATTCCCCTAGTCCGAGATGATCCCTTTGTTTATTTTCTTATTTCTGGGAACAGGGAAGAATCCTCTTCTCAGAAGATACACAGCACAGAGACATTTTGCTTCTGTTGCTCTAGGTAGAGAGTAACACAAATATCAGCATTGTACTTAGACTGATTAGACCTGCTCTACAAGGATGATCACTGCAATTGTTCTCAAATTTATTCCTTGACTGCTTGACACCATTACTTGTCATGTAATTAAATAAAAAATGAAGCTGTTTCAAAAACATTTGAAAAAAAAATAAGCAGAATTATATATCCATCACTTTTCCTTACAAAAGTTCAATCCCCCACCCACCAGAAGCACCATCTAAAAGGAGGCACTTTGACAGAAGGCAGACATTAGACTTCCTCTTAAATGCTTTAAAATGCATTTATTGCTTTTCTGTTCAATCTTCAGACTCAAAATGCTACAAAAATTTTTTGTCTGTAAGTTACATACTGTTAGTTTATTTCCCTAGTGAATGAGTTAGTGAGCCTTCTTGACAAGACTCAGAATTATTTTTAAATGCATCACTATCACCAGTTAGTACAAACAGGGTGGTGGTGAATCTGGCATCATCAAGTCCAGTGGTGTTCCACTGTTATTTAAGCACCCTGTAGGCCACCACAGCAGTGGGAAACTTTCATTAGCTTGCACCAATTAAACCCCTCATCTCTGCTTCTTCCTCAGCTTTTATGTGCTGAGGAAGGAACAATTATCAATGTTTTAGTCAAAATAACTTATGAAATACTTACTTTTTAAAGTATTTCAGGCTTACTTCAACTGAACTGGGTCAGGAAACATTCATTCCCATGAGAGCAGACAGCAATTTTGAGGGTTGGTAGTCAGAAGCACCAACCTCTCCACTAGTACAGTTAAGTTATACCCAGAAGACATCACCATTTAACTTAACCTTCTCCAGGGACAAAAGTTACACAACTTTAATTGTCTTAGTAGGAGGTTCCTATTAATAGCATTTTTAGATATCATACCTGTGTAGACTAAGGACTTTAAAAGTAGTACCAGGAAGTGTATTTCTTTAAGCTTTGATGCTCAATTTGACATAAAAGACAACATTTCTCATTTTATTATATTACACTGTTGGTATAGCTGGCCCACTATCAAGTGCCTTGATTCTAATGTAATGTCCTTTAAATGACTAAGAACAAACCACATCAGCATGAAACATAACATGAGCAAATTCTGTCCATTCCAAAGATCTTCAGCTTACTTTGGAAAAAGTACCGCATACCCCTGACCAGTTTTACTGCTACAAAAACAATGTTTGTTAAATTTTAGTAGTTTAATTCACCCTGCTGGCACTGTTAAACCAGTTTGACTCTATGTATGGAGTGAAAAATGATGCTTCTAATTACTAAGTATGGATTGTGTCTTAATACAGGGGTCTTTCCCAGATGAAATCAACCTGTTAAACTAATGAAGTTACACAAGTATGTTCTAGATACTTTATACAAGTACATTAATTAGTTATGACTGCAGAAGTTACTGTGAACCTCACTTTTTGTTTTTATCAGTGTGCTGGTTTTGGCTGGGGGAAAGTTAACTTTCTTTGCAGTAGCTGGTATGGGGCTGTGTTTTGGGTTTGTCATGAACACAGGGCTGATAACAAGAGATGTTTTTGTTATTTCTTACAGCACTCACATACAGCCAAGACCTTTTCTGCTTTTTGTGCTGCCACACTGGTGAGGAAGTTGGAGGTACATGGGAGATGGGTGGCAGATACAGCAGGACAAGTGACCAAAGGTATATTCTGACCATATGACATGCTCAGCATATAAAAATGGAAAGAGGAAGAAGGAGATGGAGTGCTGGCACGTGTCTCCCCAAGCAGGCATTGCACATGATAGGGCCCCCCTGCCATCACATGGGATATTCAGCCAGCAGCCTGCCCTGGACATGGCTGAACACCTGCCTGGCAGCTGGATACAGTGAACTATTCCTTGTTTCACCTTGCCTGTCTGTGTGGCTTCTGCTTTCCCTATTGAACTGCCCCTATCTCAACCCATGAATTTTCCAGCTTTTGCCCTTCCAATTCTCTCCCCAGTCCCACTGGTGGGTGAGCGAGCAAGTGGCTGCCTGGGGTTAAACCATGACACACAGTAAATACAGGAAGGTCAACATGACTTTTTAGGAAAGCTCAAAAAGTGAATATAACAGAAAACCAACTGCAAAAGAAGTGGAAACAATCTACTGTAGAAACACTGCTTCAGTACTGAATGATTTCAATATGTCTCAAAGTCAACTAAGGATTTTAGCTCAGGTCATGACACTGGGCTTACAGGTACTCTGTACCTTAAAATGGAAACTAGTCCTCACTTCCATTAGCAAACTAATCATATACTAATTAAGAATTCAGCATAGCCTGTGCCAAAGTTGTTTAATAAACCCTACACATGGAATAGAATGCACTTAACGAGCCGTCCATGATTAAATATGCCTGAGTTAGTGCTTAAATAAGTTAAAGACCCCCCTCAAGATTTCTTTGTATGTTAGAGCAGTACTCTGCAATGCTTTACAGATAGTGAATTAAACCAAGGAATTCAAACACATTTGTGGAACAAATGATGCTACTGTGTTCAATGCTTCATACAGGAAAAGCTCAATGAACACAGCACGCTAAATGAGCTATTCTTGGATTATTGTTCTATAAACCCCACTGTTCAAGAGAGTACAAGAGTTGGCAGATTTAAAGGAGTAAGATTCTCTTTATTAATGAACTGAGGAATATTTATGTAACCCTTGACACCCAGTCAGATACTGTTTTTAAATTCACATGAGACCAAGATTTAGCCAGTGCATATATAACAGTAAGTAACAACACAAAACTGAAGCAGCTGGACCTGAGGCAAACAAGGGAAAATGAGACACTTGCAAAAGCATAAGGGAGTAATTAAAATGCACAGAGCAATACAGAAAGAGATGCATTTGTAGGCATGCCTGTGCAAATAATTTAAAATCAGTGCTCTCACTACCTTTTCTTGTAAGCAAGTGCTACACTGGGAGGAAACATGAGAAAACAGAATCACTAGGATACATTTTCAGTTGACTAACAAATAAGTTTTACAGTTTGGGGCACCAAAGGGATAGCCCCACTTTTAGGTCTTGGCTTCTGCTTCTTTTATCATGGCATCTCTAGAACCTGCCCAATCAGCCACAGCTGAGCTGACTTAGCTCACTAGTCCCACAACCAACTGGAAAAGGAGGAGGAAAGGCAAGTGGAGTCTACTCCCAGGAGCACTGGCTACATGCCAGAGCTAGGGAAGGAGACAGCCACTTAGTCAGGTAACCTGCCCTGTGTGCTGTCAGCCACAGCCTGCATCTCTACCTGAAGCCTCCAAAAGGAAAAAATTATAAAAAAACCCCAAACTGATTCCCTGCACCAGAGCTGAAGCTGCACCATGAACCAGGACCAGGAAGCTCATCTGACCCAAGGCTTCCCCATTCACTGGATTAGGTTCAGTCAGGTCCATTCCACAGCAAGATCACCCTAACACATCACAGCAAGGGCAAACCCTTCTTTCCAAACACTTGGA